TGCAGCTTCTGAACAGTCATAAAGGGTAGCCCCCCATAGAGTGTCTTGCAGGAATCTAACTTGGAGGTTATTAAAGTATCCATTACTGAAGTCAGGTTATTTCGGTCCAAAAATGAGGCACGGCTGGATTATCATCTAAAGTTAGCAGAAGGCCCTTCATGCTACTGAAGCTACTTGGAGGTTCAAGGGACAAAGGTGTCTCCAAGAGAAGCTACAATCCTGTATCTTCTGACCTGGTCACAAGAACCACCAACTCACAGTATCTCAGTTTTATAAGGATTTAGTTTCAGCTTATTAGCCCTCATCCAGTTCATTGTGGCGGTTTGGTAATAATTTAGCACATCTACAGCCTCACTTAGTGAAGATAAAAGGGAAATCGCATACTGAGGGCAACACACTCCTCAACTCAGAGGTTTCACATAAATGCGGAATAGCAGTGTTGATACTTTCTTTGTACTTCCACTGCCTTGAGAGATGCATTCATGTTCTTAAAACAATTTTTAGTTGTGATCATGGTGCCCGGGAATAATAATGACGTGGATTGCTCTGTGTGTGTGTGTATTTGAATGACAGAATTAGCATCTAATTCATCAGAATGTTTTTGGGTTATTGGTAGCATTATTTGTCTGAAAGAAATGAGGAGTATGGCACTCTGTCATTATCAGCAGAGCCCCATTCCGTGAGTCAAGGGAAAGCAGGTCAATTAGTACGGCCAAGCTTCTTTTTAGTTGTCCCTTCTTATGGCCTTGTCCACTTTCAGCAGCTGGAAATCTACCCTGCCCGCCCCCACTGGCTGCATCTACCAAACCAGGCTCAGAACCCTCTGGGTCTCCACTACCTCCTTTAGGTAGTGCCCTGGCTAGGTAGTGTCATGGGACAGGTAATGCAAAAAAAAAAAAAAAAAGAGAGAGAGAGAGAGAGACCACAAAATTTCAGTTAAGGATGTGCTAGAGAACATGTTCAGCAGTAAAGAATATATATATACTTAAGCATTTTTTCACTTCTGTTTATATGCTTCAGTTCAGTTGAGCACTAGCGTAACTCTTCCAGGATTTATTAGCCAATTTCCCAATTTTCCTTTAATTTTCTTATACTGAGAAAAGTTCTCTCATCTCCTTTTTTCCTTTCTTTCAACTGTTTGAATTTTTGAGTCCTTGACATTTCTGTATTGCGCCCCTCCCCCTGCCTCTTCTCCTCTTTCTCTCCCACAAAGATAACCCAGCTATTTCTCTTGGCTTCACTTCATTTTTTTTAAGCAAATGCAGTAGTTTTATCATTCTTTTTTCTCAGCTCATGTCCAAGTAAATTTACTTTAGCAAATTGACTTTAATTTTTTTTTACATTTACAAACTGTTCCCTTAGCCCTTCAGGGTTCTCTGAAGAATGTGCAATCCAAAACTAATATATCACAGTAATATTCATGTTATAAAAGTTCATACAATAAAAATCCATAAAGTAAAATACAATGAACTCTGAAAGATAACTGCAACTGTTGCTAAAATTACTTCATGTACAGCAGTGATTAAAAATCATTAAAATTCTTTTAAAATATAAAATGCTAATTCAGCAATTCTTAAAATGTCTGTGCCTAGCTCCAGAAAGATAGCAATGAAAGTGCCAGGTGTACTTCTCTGGGGCATATTCCATAGATGGGGTGCAACTACTGAAAAGCCCCTTCTCTTTAATGCCCCCCTCACCTCTTTAGGGGACAACTCCCTAAAAAGGGCCTTTGTAGCTGATCTTATTGGTAGAGTAGGGTGTTCCCTCAGGTATCCTGCTCTTATTCCGTTTAGGGCTTTACGTGTTAAAACAAGCACTTTAAATTGAACCTGGGCCTCAACAGATAACCAGTGTAATTGGTAAAGAATTGGTGTAATATGGGTGCACAAGTCTATTCTTGTTAACAAATGTGCTGCCCTATTCTGAACCAGTTGAAGTTTCTGTACCATTTTCAAAGGTAGCCCCACATAGAGCATGTTATAATAATCTAGCTGAGAGGTTACTCTGTCTCTCCAGATAAGACTGCAGCTGATAAATCAGCCACAGCTGAAGAAGGGTGTCAGCATCTGGGGCATGAGCGGCTGGGTATCTGGTCAGGGCACCAGGACCCAGACAACCGGTGCAATATACAGGCCCTTTCCAAATCGTAGTCAGGCAGTCCAGAATCAAGGTGTGTAACAGAAGTGCAGGGTAGACCAACCTGAATAGAGCAGCGCAGTCAATGCCAGTCAGGAGTCGAAAGCCAGGGAGACAAGCCTAGGAGAAGCAGATACCTGAGACTGGAGCGGAAGCTGGAGCAGGTGAAGCTGGGCACGGTCCAGAAGCAGAGGCAGGAGCAAGGCAACGGGCAGTTTCCGGAAGGGACAGGGACCTCCTCCAACAACATCAGGACCCCTTACTGCTGAGGCAGCATCTGAAGGGAAGAGCTGGTTCTTATATAGCTCTTCCCTCAGGGCTCCCGGGGGGGGGGGGGGGTGCTCGTCGCATCCCAGGTGGCTGCGGTTGACTGTGGGCCCAGCCCTGCAACCACCAGGGCTGCTATTCTGGTCTCTGGCCAGAAGAGGGAGCCCTAATGCTGCCTCAGAACCTCACAGAAGGTGCTCCTGCCCACCAAGTCCACTTGAGACTCAAGTGCTGATTTTGGTCCAGGAGCACCCCCAAAGTACAGACCTTGTCCAGGACAGGTTGAAATATTTCCAACCTGATGGATAATCTGCCCACCATCAGAGGCCTGCCCACCTCCATCTTATCTGTACTGAGACTCAGTTTATTGGCCCACATCCAGTCCATTACTGACCTCAGGCATCAGTTCAGAACAGATATCACCTCACCTGGGTTTGATGAAAAAGACAGGTGGAGCTGAGTGTCATCTGTGAATTGAGGTCCTCTCAACCCATACCTCCAGATAATCTCTTCCAGTGGTTTCATGTAGATGTTAAAGCGCATGAAGGATAAAATGAAGCCCTGTGAAACCCAATGACATTTCTGCCATGGCGCAGAGCAGTGGCAAATAGTAGCTTGGGGCTGGTTCAGTATGGGGGAAAAGAGGTAAACCACCTCCTTTATCCATGCTGCCGCATTACCACAACAGCGGCTGCTGCCGCTGCTTCCTCCTCCTCCTCTTCTTCAGGGTAAAAGAGTATGCAGCTCTACATGTGACCCTTCATATAATGTACATTTGACTTGATTGACAGTAAACATTCTTTTTTCAGTGGCTGGTGCTCAGTGTAGCAGAAGAGGACTGGAAACTAATTTCTTTTTTGTGTATAGCTGAAAGAGAGGAAATGCACTGTTCCTGGTTCTAGGAGAGTTGCTTGTTAAACCGTGGGAGCTAAAGACAAACACTAGGACTCCTTAGGATTTCCTTCCTTCCTCTCTCCTAAGCAGAGTTCTGAAAATTTAAATAAGGTGCAAAAGACAACATTGTACTTTTTGAAATAAATAAATCAATATTTGCATCTGAGCCAAGTTTTCATAACAAGTAGACAAATGGTAAGCCTGTGACTGGATTGGTCTATTTCCACCTGCAAGTGGCTGAAATCATGGCTGAACATTTCCTGCTATAAAATATCCACAGACAGAAAACTAGCGTGTGAGGAAAATAACTCGTTTGGTTTATTATATGCAGGGATTTAGTTCTCCTGTGGAGGAACATTTAATCTTGAGAGCCCCCAACCGCAGTGCAGACACAGGGTGGCTTCCTTGTGAGCTGTTGGCGCATGGTGTGCAGTGTTCATGGTCTCCCGTCACTCCCTGCATCCATTTGCCCTGCCCTGCAGAATGCCGTCTACCCAGTAGAATGAATTCCCGACTTCTAGACTTGATTATTTACAAATCATTACCCAGAGGAATGACGCCAAAGAGCTTGGAAAATCTCCAGATACACAGAACAGAGCAGTGTCTGTCAGCTTAATAGCACGCAGGAACACTGATGCACCCTGTCATCAAAGCTATTCAAGAGTCTTCTGGCTGGACAGCCACTCAAATACTCAGTTTTATTGGAGCAGTGAGTCATTGGAGAAATCCATCCGTTCTGGAACAGAGTATTCCCAAGAACAGACCTTGTGGGGATGAGCACTGGGGAGCTTGTGACCTTTGCTGTAAGATGTCGCAACACAAGATGGATCTCTTTGTAGAACCCTTGGGTGCATTTTACACATGAGCCCCATGATCAGTGCACTGCCATGCCATTTTGTTCAGCACACTCCATGTAGTGTGGAGACAAGCCCAGTATCAAAAGGCCCTCTGATAAAATGTGGACACGTGTTCTCTAATGGCTCTGAGTGAGAAAGAGGCATTTTTTGGTTTGGTTTTGGGGTTTTTTTTTTTTTTTTTTGCAATGTTGCTTCTATAACTATGGAATTTACTGTTTTTTACAGAAAAGTCTGCTTTCAGATTGAGCTATGGCTTGCCATAAGTTTGTCATTAGGGCTAAATGATATTTAAAATGGGAAATAAGTAATGTCAAATCAAACTTTTGTTTTGTTTTGTTTTTGAAGGCTGCTATTCAATGGGCTTGACAGTTTCTTCTCTCAATAAAGTTGTGTGGAGGCTTTAACTGCTCAGGCACAACAGCTTTAAGCTGGTCTGTATAGTACAGTGGCCACTGGCAGTGGCATTTCAATTGCAAAGCTCCCTGGAGGTATTGCGAAGCAGAAATCCACTACAGGAGTCAGCAGGTCACTGTGGGTGTCCCTTTCCCCCTCCTCCCCTCCACCCTCCACAGCCCCAACTTGTGTAGTAGGATTTGTGTTATGGCACCACCGCAGTGGTGGCAAACTCATCATGGGGTCAGTGTCCCAGTGGTGAAAGGACTCTGTAGATTAACCCCCCAAATTCTGCTTTGTTACAGCTAACGTCACTCTCAGTTGCTTTAGACCTTTTAACATTTTTGCTAAGATCTATTGCTCTGAGGTTGCATTTGGAGTACAAGTTATTGGAACAGTGCAGTCCAGGTTCTGCTGTCAGCTCATTCACTTTTTCTCCATTGCGTTTTCCAGAGGTTGCCATTTCAATCTTTGAAAAGATGCACGCGCAAGAGATGTTAAGGAACCTGCGACTTCCAGAGTTCGAAGACTTCAGCCAGTTCTTCCGAAGTTTGCCAGCCACCGCCTTGGTCGGGGTGGGTGCCTTTGCAGTCGTCGTGGCATACTGGCTGGCCAGCCGGCCCAAAGCAGTGAAACCCCCGTGTGACCTCTTGATCCAGTCAGAGGAAGTCGAGGTGAGGGTACAGCTTTTCATGAGAAAACAGAGTTAGATCTGTGAGTGGTAATAACTTTTCTTGTACTTTTTAAAGCAGAAGCCAATGCAGCTTTTGTTATTTGGATATTTCACGTATTCATAGGTGGTCATCTAAAATTGTTATTGTTGCAGTTGTTTTCCTTATTTTCATTTCTATACCACCCAATAGCTGAAATTCCCTGTGTGGTTTACAGCAGTACATAAAAGCAATACAATAAAATACAATAAAAACACCACAAACTCTTATGAACTGATGTTCAAAATTACAACTGACTATTAACAGAATGGCTTGTCCAGAGTAATTTTAAGATTTTTCTCTGGGCTGTGATGGTGAAAGACCCATCATTTTCCAAAGCTGAAAGCTGATATTTCAGTATGATACTTCAGTTGCACAGGGAGTTTGTGAGTGAGTGGGTGTTTTATATCATATCGCTTTCTAATGTGGTCATCACAGTGTGATGTGATACATTACCTGTTAATAGATGACCGGATGCTCTTACCATGTGGCATGACAGAATATCCAAAGTGTAGATGAAAGGTGAAGCTGAAGTAGGAGGAGGGAAAGCCTGTTTGGCAGTGGGTGGGGATTACAACCAGGAGCACGATGCCTAGAGAAAGAGGACGTCATGCAGCAGGGAAATGGGATCCCTGTTAAGGCATACATCAAGACAGAAAGGTCAATTTGCCCCTTCATCTTTTGCTCTTCAGTGGCAGCCATTGATATTTTTTCTAGAGTAAAAAAAAAAGTTTCTTCACACAAATTATAACTAAATAAGAACATAAGGAAAGCCATGTTGGGTCGTGCCAGTGGTCCATCCAGTCCAGTGCTCTATCCAGCCGCCCATCCCTCCAGCTGGATGGGTGCAAGATTCTGCCTTCCCCTGGGTTTTCTAGTACCACAATGGAGGAACACAATGCTGCCGCCTCCACTTTTTCCGCAGTATGCATAATTTTAAACATTTCTGTCATGTCTCCTCTTTCTTGGCTTTTTTCTAAGCTAAACATTCACAGTTGTTTTAACTATTCCTCATAGGAGAGTTGTTTTAACACCATCATTATAATTGTCCTTCTTGCAGTTTTTTCAGCAATAATGCTATTTTCCAGGTATGGTGACCAGCACTGCCCAGAATATCCTTAAGTGTGATTGCACCAAAGATTTGCATAGAGGGAGCATGATTTCGGCAGTTTTATTTTCAGTTCCTTTCCTAATTATGCCTTTGCTTTTTTTCAGCAGCTGTGCTCTGGGTGAACATTTTCATTGAGCTATCTACCAGTAGCTTTTTTTTTTTTTTTTAATACGCCTGTTTTCAAATGTTTTCAAAGAATCACATGCTAAATTAAATTCTGGTTTAGTAAAGCAAACTAATTTTGGGGATTAGTTTGCTTTACTAAGGAAAGGAAAGGACAGGACAGGACAGGACAGGACAGGAAAGGAAAGCCCACCTTAGGACTAGATAATATTTTTTTCAGTACTGGTCTTCGGAATAACTTAATGAGTAACATAAATGATGCAATAAAATATCTGTGTGACTGTTCTTGTTTGTAACACACTTTGTAATCCTTGGAGACATATTTGTAAAAGCATAAACAAAGTGAACTAATTATACTATTGAGATTCCTTTTATGGTTCTCAGAATTTAAAAGCATACACAAAGCATTACTTATGGCAGTGATGCAGTTTCATGATGCTTTGGAAGGAGGTACCTAGTATTAATTCAAATACATCATTTTGAGATGAGCCCAAGCAAACTACTTAGACATGGTGGGTCTTGAGAAGTGATTGTAGGCCATAGGTTTATGTTAGGCTTATTGCTGAATCAGAGAGAGTATTTATTCCATGGTTTTCTTTACCAAGAGAGTTAAGAACCACACTGTAAGCCAGCAAGATCAGACAGAGAAAAGAGTTCAGGAAAATACTGAACAAAAGTGCACACACAGGAATATTTTAAAAATAATCTCTGAAATAGGATACCTAGTTTGCTCATGTCGGCTAACGCAAGCTGATAAATGTAGGAACAGAATGCTAGACTAAGTAAGGGTTCAGTCCGATTCAACAAACCTTTTTTTCATAATCTTACAATGGTCAGCTACATCAAACATGATACTTTCTTCAACTGACCTAGAGAAGCAAAATTATACATTTGTTAAAAATCCAGGCTGTTTAGTAGGATTGCTTTAAGAACATGGCCAGCTTGGTCCAATTGTTGAAATCACACAACCCCTATAAGATCTGAATGCCTGCATGTAAAAGCTCTCCTCTCTCATTTTGCCTTGGCTAACCACCACTCCTCCCATGGCTTGGCCTTTTGGTTGGTCCTGCACATCTTTCTCTTGACTCTCTTTAGATCGATGTGTCTTTGCTATCTTTGGCAATCACTTCCATAAAACAAGGAAGACACACTTGGGGTACACCATTTTGCTAGATCTAAATGAGCCTCTACAATCTGTTCCTAGTTGTATAGAAAATCAAGCTTTATCTATTTCCAGATAAGTGGGAGTTGGAGGAGGAGGAATATTATTTATTTAATTTCTATATGATGGTATGATAATTGCTTGCTAAAGGTTTCTATTTATACACAAAATTACAGAACATTTCAAACCTGCAGTTTTACTGTATTGATTTTTCAGAACACTTTGTTTTGTACCTTGTGCTTTCAAAATATTTTCATTGCTGGCTGCAGGAAAATGCTCCCTATGGACACTGGTATGGAATTAAATGTATATTTCATGAGTTTTGCTGCATCATTCATATTATTTACAAAGCCTGGCAATAGTGGACGTGGGACAGGAGAGAAATTGTCCTTTACACAGCTGCATGTCTTAACCTTTTGTTATTTTATTTTTTTCCTCCTGACCTTGATAGTGTCTCTTTATATAGTTGAACTTTGCATAAGATGAATCTATGTATCTGCTATCATTGTTCCAATCCAGTGGATAAGTTTTAGTGGTATCCCTATTTTATGATTCAAAGGTTAGCCTACAAATTAACCTTCCTATTTCACAGGACAGAAAAACTGATAGTAAGACTGGAATAACCTTGGTTTTTTAAGTTGGGGAGAAACAAATTCTGCCTAAATAAAGCAAAGGAGCATAGAGACGGAGCTGCTTGATAATTTCTTGTACATGGCTACCAAATGCATTTTATATAATTGAAGAAAGGAGGGTCAGTGACTTGTTGATGCACCTTTTCTCCATTCATATTTTAAGTCTGGAAATGGAGAAGACCAGGATATTTTAATGTTGCTATGTGCTGCAGATCCCTTCTGACCACCCATGAACACAAGAATGCCCATTTGCAAGGTATAGTTGGTTGTTTAAACAATGCCAACAATCAGAATGACGGTTTATACAGTCATACAAACACAAAGGTAGGTCTTTGTCCCAAGGAGCTTGCAATCTACATTTTGACAGTGAGGTGGACACAAAAGGGTAAATGTAAGGATAAACCAGGCACCAAGGGAAGAATCTCAACAAAACTATTTACATAAAGTTAAGCTTCAACTTCTGTTTGTATGAGAATTAAGGAGTGTTTGCAATAGATTTATGAGCTTGCCACTGTGTTTGTAGTTTAATGGCTTTTATAACTTTGAAAAACTGGAACAAGCTCCAAGGGCCCATGTCGAATGTACAGGTTTGCCTACTGATCTCCTTTTGTGTCTACATTATTTTACTCTAGAGCTGGGATGGTGCCCGGAGATCTGTAATTGGTGACCGCTCACAATTGCTAACTCACTACTATGATGATGCAAGGACCATGTATGAGGTTTTCAGAAGGGGTTTCAACATATCTGGTAAGTCTTGAAGGTATTGATATTTCATACTTGGGAGCCACCAGTGGCTCAGGGTTAAGACTACCCAGAATGTATGTCTTAGTTCTGGAATGTCAGATGTTTCACGGCTGAATATGCTGGTAACATTAACGTCGGTATTAAAAATGGAATGGGCTAGAATATGATGAAAAAGTTTGCATGCTTAAGAAATCTACAAATTGTTTTGAACTACTGTAACAACTTCTAGCAATGTGGATTGCATGTGCTTTCCTGTTATTATTAGTAAGTGAAAAATAGTTTTGGAAGTACAGCAGATGTTTATTCTTGTATTTCACGTGTTTCTCTGTTCTTGCATACAGCAGGAATCTTAGATTATATGTGACTGAGCTTATAGAGCTTAGTTTTGACTCCCATTCTCCTGAAAACAAGCACAATATAATTAATATAATTAATTACGGTTTTCTTAAGCTTCTTCTTATAACAAAGGCAAATTATAAGTAGAAGTAGGGATTGTATAATGGTGCTGTTGTATATTAGAGAAAAGATAGGTTAATAGGGCAGCAGATGTTCTAAATGTCAGTCACCATCCCTTCTTTTACATGAGAGCTCCCAGCAGTACTTGATGGAACTTCTGGAGTATAACAATCCATTAGGCAAGACAGCTTCCCTAAGTCCTTTTGCATTTGATGATCCTCTGTATGATCTGTTGGATTGCTGACACAGCACACTGACCTTGATCAGCAATAATGGTTTATTCTTAATCATGCTGTCCTGCTGTGGAGCAGTCAGGGTATGAGGAAGTGCATTATTCACCATCTTTTCGGAAAGGATGGTTGTACTTACTGCTCCTGTCATCTGTTTTTCTTTAGAAAATGGTCCCTGCTTAGGATTCAGAAAACCCAAACAACCCTACCAGTGGCTGTCCTATAAGGAGGTGAGGTTGATGTTATATTACTTTAATGAAAAAATTAGAACACATTTTTGGAATAGTTCTAAGGTTGCTTGGCTCCAAATGTTGGCCTCTGGATGTGTTAGACCACAACTCCTATCAACCCCAGGAGAGGGCATTAAGTTGGGAGAGGCCAGTCTAATAGAATGTACAGTATTAGGGTTTTTTTAAATTTACCTCCTATCACATGCACAATCAACACAAAGGAATCATACAAGTTGAGCAATTTCTGCAGCTGTTTAGTTTTCCAAAGGTGTCACTTCTTGGCACAGGCCTGTCATTCAGTGTAGGTTCCTACTCCCTGCCACCGTTGTTGAGCAGCCTCTCACGGCAAGGAGGCATGAGAACAGATGCATTGTACTATAACATCAGTGAGTCATGCCAGTGCAGAGTCCTAAAAGTGCTGTTTTGAACTGGGATCATTGGCTGCTTATTCTCACCCTTGCAAGTGAGAATAGCTAAGTGCACAACTGCACAGGCTACTTCTGTTTAGTTCAGCTTGTTGAAGAATTTGGAATTCTTCAGGCAAAGGCAGAGAATAGAGGAAAAGGTAGTAAAGGATACAGGATTATACTGATAGTAATCCTGCTTAGAGCAGCTCCACTGAAATGACTGGGAATAGAGTTAGATTAACAGTGGAAACTGTTAACGTGATTATGAGAGCAAGACTGCCATTATAGGCTGTAGCTTCATATTGAACAAGCCTAGATTTCCCTTAGCAATACTGCATGTTATTTGAAAGTGTTTTCTTTCATTTTGAGGTTGCTGAAAGAGCGGAAGCTTTGGGCTCAGGCTTACTCCAAAAAGGATGCAAGCTGTCAACAAGTCAATTTATTGGTGTCTTTGCACAAAATCGACCAGAGGTGAGATTTAAGAACACAGGAGTCCATCTCCAACTTCTATTTTTTAATCATATTTATTGCAAACTGTAATTTATACCTGTTGTTACCTTCTTCCAGTGGATCATTTCTGAACTGGCTTGCTATACCTATTCCATGGTTGTGGTTCCCTTGTATGATACATTAGGCCCTGGAGCCATTCGTTACATTATCAACACAGGTAAAAATAAAAATTAAATTCATCTGAGTAAATACCTTCTTAGAATGTTACATTTTATGTATAAAATGTATACATTCTGGCTATTCAAAGGAATAATTATTTCATGAATTCTGATTCCCCAGTTTTAGTAAAATAATAGAATACACAAGCAGTAGATTTTGATCAACTGGTTACAGATTGTGATTTGACTACACAGCTACACCTGATTACTGGTTACATCCTTTGATGCAGTGATACAGGTCATTAAACTGCCCCAGGGCAGTTCTGTTGTCATTATGTGTGCAGTGTACTTTCTCAAGCCAAAATCCAGATTGATAACATTTGACAAGCACTTTAAGTCCTAATATCAAAACATATTTTTGGACACTTTGCAAACTACTAATTATTACTGTTGGGGTGCTAAAACACACACACTATCAGCATTTCAGCAGGGGAATCAGACCTAAAGGCTGGTCAAATTTATACCTCAGAATCACTTCAGAAACTATACAAGATGGAATATACATATTAAAAGTAGAGTCTATTTGTAACTCTCTTGTGGAGTTTGGGATTTTGGAGTAACGTTGTAATAATCCACTGGTGTGTAAAACTAAAGCACTTCACATTTTCATTTTACATGTTGGTCTTTTGCCGTTGACATTCCACATCATATTGATTGAAACTGTGAGGCAGTATTTTAAAAGGGAAACCCTCACAAACCATTGTGCTATCTATTTTATTAAAAGATTGGTATTTCCTTTTGGCTAAAGACCTTAAAGTTGTCCTTGACATTCATACAGTGCAGTAAGTCCATTCTAAACAGTACACATTAAAAACAAAAACCATAAAACAAATTGATCACAATGAACAGTCAGCACAAGAGAGGAAGAAGATGGAAAGATGCTGGTTCAAAATTTTAAAATTCTGAACCAGCATATATAAAAGGGGGAAAGCATGATAGCTGTGGTAGGAGCTGGGAGCTGTGTTAAAGTTCAGGGATTAGTATATATCCCTTTATCACTTTGTATAACTCTCACCCAAATGTCAATGGACAACTATGGCTTATTTTAAAGGGAAAGCTGTTTGATTGTCATTGTCTAAAACAGCTTTTTTCTTCTTTTTTGGTCTAGCTGATATTTCTATAGTAGTTTGTGACAAGCCTGAAAAAGCCAGAGTCCTGTTAGAGCATGTAGAGAAAAAAGAAACTCCAGGCTTGAAATCTATTATTTTGATGGACCCTTTTGAGAAAGACCTTAAAGAAAGAGGACAAAAGTGTGGCGTTTATATCCAAACTATGCAGGAAGTGGAGGTGAGGTTTTCTCTTATGCTACATCTTGTGTCAAATAAAGCAACTGTTTGAAAAAATAAAAACAAATAAATGTGGGTATACTTTTTTCTTTATATTCTGTCACACTTCACCAAGCCAAGTCATAGTTAGCACAGATATAACTGATTCCAGGATGCCAATGATGGGCAATTCGTATTGGTTAACAATAGAAATAACAATAGAAACATTTGATAATTCTAATTTCAAAACTCCTTATTACAAAAGCTGCTTTGCAGTTCTTCCCTTATCATTCCTTATTTGATCTGGCAACGTGACATAAGCAAAGAAGAGATAAATTGCATAAAGGCATCTGCTGAGATGATGTTTCAGATGAGGTGAGCAAGAGGACCAAGAGCCATGTTTTACAAGGGAAAGGAGCATTGCTGATTCACAGGTATTGAATCATGATCCCTTTATTGATATTTTTCAGGACTGTGGTCGGGAATGCTGGCATGCCCCTGTGGTGAGTATAGCCTGCCTCTCTGTATTTGTTTGGGAAAAGGGCAGCCCAGTCCACTGTTAATGGTTTTTGTTTGAGCCTTGCAAAGTTACTGCAAGTTGCACAAGATCCAGTGTCCTTGTTCATGTCTTGTTTGTTCGGTGCAGGGGTCTTTGCAATTGTTCCTGTGTTTAACGGAACTGTCATCTTAAATAGTTCCCAGTACAAGTTACTTGGGAATAATACAACTGGTCATAAACTTACATAATGCATGTCAGAAATTGTGTGTGTGTGTGCATAGAGATCGGGGGTTACTTTAGCATGTGGAGGTAAGATAGGAGTAGCATGGGAGGAAGAGCAAGAGAAAGTCTGGTTTGGAGCAGGAAGTGGAGTACCTGGTAAATCCAGGGCAAAACATTATTTAAATCCCCTATAGCAAACTTTTGCATAGCTGGATCATTTACTTCAGTGTAGGTGAACTGCAACCTTTATCTGAATAGGGACCATATCACTGCAGGAGAGAAGGATTAAAACTTTCTGCCTCTTGCTTTTGTTGTGAAATTCCACGGCCATGCACACTGCAGGTGCAGTTAAAAGGGAAGAAAAGCTTTACATTCCAGTAGAGATACCTTTTCTTTCTTATTTTTATTTTTAAGCCAGAGACTTTAAGATTTCTGGATGAAAATCAGAGGAAGAAAGATCAACACCACTCCCACTGCGAGGACCAGATCAGGACTATGGGTGCTAACACTGAAATAGATCAACAGAGAACATCTAGTTTGACTCCCAGTCTAGTACAGAGAAGCACAGAGCTAAGCTGCCCATTATATGTAGCCAACTTCACTTTTGCTGTGAAACACCCTATTCCATGAGGATGGGGGAGAAACATGCAGAATGAACTGGAAGATTCACTTCTATACCACCAAATAGTCAAAGCTTTTGATTACAGCTGTCAGAGTTGTCAGACCTGTAAGAATCTTCTTTTGCATAATTTGAATCAAGGGTTTCCTCCATATGAAGTATGAACCCTTTCGCACATTCAGGAGACGAATAAGAGAGGAATAATTCTTTGATGCTGAGTCTTCCAGAAGGCTGTCCAGTAGCACTTCTAGCAGGGCTGATGAAACTTAAGCAGAAGGGTGAGGGTGAGATTCTACTGGAGGAAGCTTGGCTTTCCTTTCCTCTTGTGATACTGTTACTCCACCAAAGCTTACTTTCTATGCAAATACTGAGGATCTGGGATGAGAATTCCAAAGTGATAAGAGCTATAGGTATGAAGGGACTTCTCAGCTTCAACTTAAAAAACTGCCACCTTTTGGGGAAATTTGCATACCGCTAAGAGTGATAAAGTAAATCACTGAGACCTTGATATTCCTAAGAAACTATTAGCAATTTTTTTTCACATGGTGTAGCAGCTGAGAAATACAAACAGGAGAAAACATGTACTCGTGAGTAAAACACAGGGCTGGGGATCTAGTGCCTAACCACTATTAGACCTATTCAGAAGTTGCTTTTATGCCTTAGCTCAACTCATGAGGAGGGAGTGAGGTCCTTCCAGTTAGCTCCCCTCCCCTGGCCAATACACGTATGTTACGTGGACTGAGCAGTCCCTCTCCATATATACAGTTTGGAGATGTGCAGGGAGCCTAGAGCTGCATGCATGAGGCTTCTGTCCCTGCAGAAGTCTGCAGTGTTTGAACGCCTGAGGAAGGGCTACTCAATGTACCAAGGAGGGAGCATGGCCAACTACTCCCTCAATGAGTATGGGAGTAGTTGGCCATGCTTCCTCCTTGACTTGATATATGAGGATGATTTCTGAATCAAATTATTTTTAAAATGCAAATAACTGTAACAGCTGCTTGGAGGCCGGCATTGAACTTCACTGGGAAATGGCATCAGTTAAACTAACAGCACGGCCTGTACTTGCTGACTCAGAAATAAGTCCCGTTGTGTCTAATGGGAATTAGTCCCACTTAGGTATGCATAGGGTCACAGTCTAGGATGCCTGCACAATAAACTATTCCCACAAAGGTTTCTATAAATATTTGAAGCAAAAGCTTAGGAAAAACAAAGAATTGACACTAGACAAGGTAACACTCTATGGAAGAGTATTAGAAAGGCATAGTGGGGTTAAGAGGCTGGACTGGGAACCTGGGAGGTCTGGGCTCTAGTCTGCACTCCGCCATGAAGCCGCCTGGGTGACTTTAGGCCAGTCACTGCCTCTCGGCCTAACCTGCCTCCCAGGGTGGTGGTGGTTGTCAGGATAAAATGGAGAGGAGGAGAGCCTTGTAAACCATGTTGAGTTCCTTGCATGAGGAGGAAAGGAGGGATGTTGTATTTGATTAACTATGGTGAGCTGCCCAGAGAGCTTTGGGTGGTATAGAAATAATAAATCTAATAATTTCTTGTAAACCTGCATTAGAAAGTTAATCATTGTTACCCAGAATTAATTTTTCTTTTATTTTTTCTTATAATTTTATAATATTTTTTCATATACTATTTCTAGCCTCCCAGACCAGAAGATCTATCTATTGTCTGTTTTACTAGTGGCACAACAGGTAAACTATACTACTTTTGTAATAGTGTTCTTTGATGGTACAATGTACAATGCAGACATTGTACAGAAATACCACTTAAATCCATTAAAATAATCTATAGATAGAAATGAAATAAATGCATGTGGAAATTATATATGGGAGTTTTTGTTTAACATACATCATATGTACCAGCAAGAGTACAAAAGTTTAATGATATACAAATTAAGTATGTGGAATGTATACAAATATAGACAACTGGTATATCCAATTAGGCCCTTTGTACAGTTATTTAATATATTCCAAAAGTAATAGAACAATTGATAGTAAGTACTCTGGGACAGTAACTACTGTGGTATAAACCAAATGTGTGAAATTGTGTGTTATTAAATTCAACTTGTTATTTCTAAGGAGTCAGTCTGGCTGAATCTTTAACTGTCAACAACACAAAGTTTCTTTTTTAAGCCTCCTACTTGAAATGATACAATGGTGGACCAGTTTTGGTAGTGAACTGTTATTTTGTAGTTTGATTGCTTCAACAAGGTTTCCTCCCTTCTTTCTGTTCAAGTAGAATGAGCACTATAATTGTATGGTTCAACAAAGATGATTATCACTCCAAATAGGCAGGTTTCCATGTCCCTCAGCAGCAAGATATCTTTAAAGCCATAGAAAACTTAGAAACAGTAACAGCCACTGCAATAGATCTGGTTCTCATGAAACAATTTGGGTGATTTTTACTCATTAATTGACTAAATCTAGCACTTATCACATCCACTGTCAGTCATCAGCTTGCAGTTGCCCTCTTGCAAATTGTGCTCATGGCATCCAGCCCCAGAAATTCTCATTTATTTAGGGGCTGAGCAGCCCAGAGTTAACCCAAGAACAAACTGCTCATCCCAAGATCTTGATGACTATGTTACCACCACCCACAATCATAAAGTTACCAACAGTGTTTATATTTTAGCCATTGATGTAAAGGAACCAATATTGCAAAGTAATGGCAGAACTGCTGAGATTACAGTACTTAATTTGTCCCATACCATTTCCCACATGAAGTGCAAAGCCTGCGGTATCCTAGGTTTCAGTACAGTTATGATCAGGAAGCTTGTATATTTGGTCTCAAGGTTATACGCTTCCTAGGAAAAGAATTTAAATTATCCCATGCCACCAGTGTTTCTCACAGCCATTGTTTATCACACAGTAAATAGCAGGCTTATGAGTGTGTCATTTGGGGTTTCTGAGAATGGCTAGCAGATGCATACAACCCCCGATACCGTCCCCTACACCTGAAGTACCTCACTTCAGCTGTCTTCCTAAAATAAGAAGACAGTTGTCTATAGCAGTAACTTAGGCTATCTTATGGATGTGGTTCTTATCTTTTGTGATTGTTTCCAAGACTGCGGTATTTTATTGTATTTTATTTGATGTTGTAAGCCGCCCCGAGGCCTCGGCAAGGGGCGGCATAGAAATGTTTTAATAAAAAAAAAAATAGGTGTCCATTATAATATTGAAAATATGGTGGTAATCTATGGTAGGAGAATAGCTATATATACATGATTTAAGAAATTCTCTTCTCATTTCTTCAACGCTTATTCTGGCTAGGTCCTAAGAATGGCTGGAGTGCTGGCTCACTAGTGTTCTTTGTGTACTCATGGTGGGACCTTTCCTACTATCTCCCAAAAGTATTTCCCGAGGAAAAGAATCTTATATAGAGTGGATTTGCTCCATATAAATTGCTGTGATTGAAGAAGCTGGTGTTTTCTTGTTCATTTGTATAAGGCATATCTTTTCATTTTATTCCTTCTTTATTCAAACTGGTTTTGTGCTCTCATTGCAAAGCTGCATGCCTAACAAATACTATCTATTAAATGTATTAAAGTATGATATGGTGTAGCGGGTATGGTGTTAGACTGGAACTCAGGAGTTCTAGGTTTTAGATCCCACTCAGCCATGAAGCTCACTGGGCGACTGTGAGCCAGGCACTGACTCTAAGCTTAGCTTACCACCCAGGGTTGTTGTGAGAATAAAATGGAGAGGGAGGGAGATGATAAATGCAGATTGGGTTCCTTGGAGGAAAGGCAAGAGATAAATGTAACAAAGAAATGATAAAAATAAGTTAAAATACATCTGGGAAATTTTTAGGCACCTCCCCAAATATTGACACAGTTTCTGGTAACATGAAAGATCAGTTATATCGGTGTTTAACTGTGCTTTTTATGTGAAATATGATTGGTTTAAAAATTAAAATACTGCAGTGATTGGATTATTTTACTTAAAGCAAGTTGACTGTGGTATTTTGAGTACTGGAGACAGCCTGGGGATTTGGGTTCCTGTGGTTCTGCTATTTTGTAGTCTAGAAAAGGGAAAGGGATATCTTTAGACATAAGCTTTCATGTGTTTCTTATATATCTATCTATTATCCTTCCATCCTTCAGGTAACCCTAAAGGTGCTATGCTGACACATGGGAATGTGGTTGCTGATTTTTCAGGTTTTTTGAAAGTGACAGAGGTGAATATTTTATTTATTTGTACAGCAAACATTGACAACAGACTGAGTTGTATAAATTAATTTGATGTCGAAACACAGGATGTAAAATAATCTCCTCTGTGAGATTCAGAAACAATCAGATAAACCAAAATAATTCAAGTGGTCTCTCACAGTAGCATTGGTCTATAACCATAGGGACCCAAAGACACACATTTTTCTACCCAGAAAGGATTTTAAAATTTAATTACTCATCTAAAAGAGGATGACATCCCAACTTGAAGCTAATGGGCTGGATCCAGACTTGGTTATGCTTAGAGTAGGTGCACTGAAATCAATGGGGGCAAATGAGTCAGGAATAATTCAGGTCCCTCTGATTTCAAGGAGACTGCTGGTTTCAAGGGATGTGGCTAAGTCTGGATTCAAGCCAATGTTTGAAACATTTTGGAACATTCCCAAATCAGGTTTGCAACCACAGGCATTAAATATTTAGGACATCAGCTTCAAAATCAGGTAACAGTCATGATTACCTCAAATGGGTCAGGCAACATTGAATAGTACTCTTCCTATAATATGCTCCATCTACTGGGCTGGGAATGGCTCTTTTCTCCTTTTATTGCTGTGCGCCAGACACAGTATATCTAAATGACTTTTCTACAGTAAAGCAGTATCAGCCTTTATTTATCCTTAAAGGTCAATCATGTGCGATGTCCCCTGGTAGTCCTTTGCACTATAACTACAATTATAGCTGCATTCTACCTTCATTAAATGTAGGTCCCATTCACTACCATCATACATGTTAATTATTTATTCTGAGATGTCTACATGGATGACTATAATCCCATTTAAATCTAAAATATAAGGAATTCCTCCCCAGGTTGAGACTGCAATGTAACAGTCAAATGGGAGCATTTCTGCTCCATGATTTCTCTTGATTTCGAACTGAAATAATATAATGCTTTGGGAGGTTGCAAGAGAACATAGAATCAAGCCCAGGACCAAATTATAAATCATGACTGATCAAGGGAACTCCTAACCCCATTTGTTTTATCTAAGCTTGCTAGTACTAAGGGCAGAATTACCTACCTTTTAATTCCTTTCCTCCAACACCCATTTTCTTCCACAAGTGTTCAGTCCCACTGATTCTATTGGACAAGTGGGATGCATTAATTAAAGGAAGCCACAGCCAAAAAAATAAAATAAAATAAAATAAAATCTGCCCTGTCTTATACAGATCTTTGGTCCACTTAGCTCAATATCCTCTACACCAAGAGTAAGTAATCTGGTGCCTTGCAGATGTTAACATGACCAGTGGTCAAGAATTATGAGAGTTATAGTCCAAAACATCTGGAGAGCACCAGAGTCACCTACCTCTGTGCTCTACTAACTAGCAGTAGCGGGAACTAGTAACATTGTAATCTGGTCTTCTGATCTTAATCTCCTGACTGCCCATTTATGCTAAAATAAGCACAGATTATTACGATATCAGGTTCGAACACTTGCAGCAGGAGAGGGCTGCTTTTTGCTGGCAAAACTTTGCATTCCAAGGGTACCAGGTTCAGCCCCTGACATGTCCAGCTGAGGCTGGTCAAGCCTTCTGTCTGAGAGGCCAGAGAACCACTGCTGGTCAATGCAGACCAAAGGCCTAACTTGCTTTAAGGCAGCTTGCTGTGTTCCTTATCCCTGGGGATGTAAGCACTCTGCTTTGTTGCTGAGGAAGTGGGCACTCCTTACATCAAAGAGATGTGTCTTACTTTGGAACTAAGAGAAGTGTCAAGGACAGCCAACACAGTGTTCTCTGGGTGGATGTTTTTATCTGGCAGCTCTAGCTCTTTGGAAGAAGAGCGTATTCATGCCCAGAACACACATGCTCTGTGTGGTGGAGGGAGCTCCCTGAAAACATCTTTGTGTTCTTCATCACTCCTGCTAACATAGTTCCATTGGTGTTGTGGCCTAACACATTACTTCAAAAACTGTTCTCTTTCTCGCTTAATAATCTTTACCCCTTTGCTCCTGTTAGTGCCATTTTTCTTTTTTATTGTTTTATGACTTTCTTGTTGTGTCTTCCTGTCAGTGTTTCTTTCCTTTCTGTCTCCCATGCCCTTCATCTGCAGAAAGTGATATTTCCGAAACAGGACGATGTGCTCATCTCCTTCCTGCCTTTGGCTCACATGTTTGAAAGAGTGATACAGGTAAGAAATCTGTCTAGACTGACCTGAGCCTTGCGGGGCTCCTTGTTGTGTTTTTTTTTCCAGAGTCAGTGGTCTCCTACATATGAGGATGTACACATTTCCTATTTGCCTTTAGCACACATGTTTGAGAGAATGGTACAGGTAAGGTCTTAGAGTCAGTGGAAGTCAACTTTCCCCTCTGATGATCAGTAAATTTATGAATTAACAGTGGGCTGATTCAGATGTACTGTCGAACCATAGTTTAACATTAGAATATGGGCATCACTCCACATTCACAGTTTCCTTCTCCACCCTGTGATAAGGTTGGAAGAAGGAGTTAGAAAGCTTTTGCTTCTGTTTTAGGCCTTGGCATGTTATTTAACCTGAACAAATTATGGTTAGTGGAAATAAGCTGACTTCAAACCATAGTTTATGAAGCTGGCTTGTCTTCACTTAGCACAGATAAGATTGGGCACAATTAAGGTTTTGGACAATATGATAAATTTCATTGTATCTAATATTAGAGCAGGGGCCTTCAATCTTGTGCTGTTGCCAGAGGAGTAGAGGGGAAGGGACGGCTAGGCACATTCTAAGCATGAATTTAGCATTAAATCCACACTCTTCCAGTAAGTCTTTTTTGAAAAACAAAATCACTTGTACTCAAGAAGTATGATGCAGTTGTTTCTCCACTCAGGAAGGCAAATTTTCAAGTTCGGACCTTGTAACATAAAACATTCCAGTTTATCATCTATGCTTAACACTGATACTAGGCATCTACCTGTCAAATACTGTCTTTCTGAACTGCTACAGCCAGAGGAAGCTCGTGCTAGCTTCTGTGTGGCCCACAAGATGTTGCATATCTGCTCTAAAACTAGTACTAAAATTTCTAATGAAATTAAATAATATAAGCAAATGTCTAAATAATTCCCTACTTATGGGAATTACAGTACTGTACGTTTTAGGGCTACAGGTAGTTCTCACATTGTACAAAGCACTTGGATTATGGCCTGGACTGTTAGATTAGGCCTGTTTCTGAAATGTTGTTTTATAACAGGCATATGAAGCAAAGAGAGATTCATCAAATAATACAGTAATTGTGCACATGCAGCTTTTTAGGCAAAATAGCATTCCCAATTTGAGAATACTACTTGGATTTTTCTACAAACATTTCCTATTGAATTTCAAGAGATAATGCCTGGCCTTTATGCTTCTGCCTTCCACAAGCATTAGTATAGGAAACAGCCCTGTAGACCTCATACGTGAAAATAACACTTGATAATGCATAAAGATCTGCATCCAGAAATCATGGATGTATTTCAAGTACATTTCCTTCTGATGGGTTTTTTTCACCAGACATCTTGCTGGATGTCTGGTGAAAAAAGCTACCCCAGCTGAGCATGTATGTGAATTAATGTAATTGATGAGCTATGCAATAGGTGGCAGAGACAGTAGCAATTTACACAACCACAGGGGCACTTTTAGCAGGTACCATACATAGATTACAAATGGATACTTTGGGGAGGACAGGACTGTTTACAGAAGGAAGAAATTGCGTGAACTGTCCCATGATACTGCTGAAATCCAAAAGAGTCTTTCAGAAACACCCGAATCCTTAAGAGAGCACCCTTTAAATGGGCAACAGAAATTGGGGTTCTGTTACAGAAATTAATTTTTCCTTTGCTTTTCCTATCACAGTCTGTAGTGTATTGCCATGGGGGCCGAATTGGGTTCTTCCAAGGGGACATTCGCCTGTTATCTGATGATATGAAAGCTCTCCGTCCAACCATCTTTCCTGTTGTGCCAAGACTGCTGAATAGGATGTATGACAAGGTAAGTTTAACATACCTAGCAGGAATGAAAAGAATCAGTGGTGATTACTGCACTGGTATTGAACTTCCTTGCTTCTTGCATTCTTCTTGCTTGTGAAATCCCTTGGTTGCTGCTATTTGCCGAAAGTCAGTAATAATCTACTTGTTTTGTGTGTTACATCTGAAATGTAAAACTCACAGATAAACTGATGTTCATGTATTTCATATAGACAGTAAAACTTGTATAACCTTTGAGTTAATAAAGGATATTCCATACTATATCTAGAAATGGATTGATCAGATATGAAATAATAAGATTTGGCACAGGGGCTCAGGCAACGTGGGTGCGGGGGAGGAACCAATTAATTTGGGAAGACCAAGCGCTTTGGAATGGCTTGCATCAAGAAAGCACCCTGGTCTGTGTCATCTGGCAGCTTTGATCAAGGCTCAGGTCTCCGTGTGGCAAAGCAGTGCCTTGTTTGTAGAGGACGAGGCACAATATGGGTGATGTCTCCATGGTGTGCCGGCTGTCACTATTGATAGACTCGTAAACTTTCTGTTCATGTATAATGTGGGGATGTTGGTGACCGACATTGTGAAAAGTGTAAAGTGGCAGAGATTGGGAGAACCTGCTTTGTTGTTGTTTTATCTTTTTATTCTAATAAGTAGTGTGGTGTTGACTTTTTATCCTGCTCTTCAACCTCAACCAAAAAGCCTGCTGGAGTAGCTTACAGCTAATGAATCAGACAAGACAGTGGAGGGTAGGGAGGAGGAACAATGGGGTGTTTTAGCAGTGTTGCTGGGATGGGTTTGCTTTCCTGATGCCTCTCCCTCTGTTATGTCTGCTGGGATGGCTATTGCTGGTGACAACTGAGCAGTGTGGAAGGCTTCGTGAGAGAGAGTCCAGCAAGGCTAGCAGAATGGTCCCACTTTCCCTCTCATGACTACATTGCATTGCCAGTGAAACATAGAAACATAGCGAGTCAGAAGGGGCCTGCTGGGTCACCTGCTCTGATCCCTGGCTCCAGCTGGCTCCGCTTGTGTAATACCCAATATGTGGTTGTCCACTGCTGGGTACTCAGCGTTAGCGACACTATAGGACTGGCCACATGGCAGTATGGCTGAGTATAGATTTTGGAGTAGGAAAGGGAACATATGAATCAACAATAAACTGCAGTAATCTAATCTGCATGACGTCTGATGCTACTTTTTGTATTTTTTGGCAGTATTTATAAAACAGCTTTTGATGAATATTAGCTTGGTTTGATTGGGAAATTTGGGATGATTGTCGCAAAAGAAAACATTAATAAAAATAAAGACCAGCCACAATTAGCTCATTAAAGAACTAGAAACTTCTTTGCAGTTACCAGATGTTTTTATTCTGTTGCCATGATATCCCAAAGAACTCTGTATAGCTGTGCCAAGTTAATTAGACAATGGAAGCCTTCAGGCTACCTTAATCTCTATATTTCAGCAATTTTGTTTTCTTAGTTCCTTTTCCCTCAGGAGGGAAGAAAACAAAAAGCATAGCACAAAATGAATTGCATCAGAATAGCTTTTGTTAAGTTTTAGCACTGGTATATTTATGATTAATTCAAACAATTAGTTATCCTGCTGGCATTTGTGAAGCCATGTCTGCTTTAGCCAGTGATAAATTTGGTCATTCTGTTCTATCCACATAATATTTTCAGTCTGACCCCTCCCTGCCATTCTGTTTTCCCTTAGGTTTTCAGCCAAGCAGACACCCCTGTGAAGCGCTGGCTTCTGGAATTCGCTGCCAAGCGTAAAAAGGCGGAAGTTCAAAGTGGGATCATAAGAAATGACAGTTTGTGGGATAGGTTATTCTTTAACAAAATACAGGTAAGGATCTGGAAATTTGAAATCAGTCTGCAAAGACTGATTCTAGTATGAATAACTCAAACTGGCTTTATACATCTGTCTAGCCACCTTTGTAAGAGGTGGGAGTTGCTAGGCTAATGTCCAGACCAATTTATTTTCCCCAACATAGCCTCAGAAAGCATCTTTTAAAGACTGCTTGGGTTTGAGGGGTAATTGCTGATGGATGTTTCCTGTGCATGGGATGAGCTTTCCCCCCCTCATATCAGTTTTTACAAGGGAGTCCTTTGAATGCAGCTCCTGTACAATTGAATGGAGTTGACACATGGAGTAAGAGAATCCCCTGCATGGGGTGGGAGTTTGCAGGGTATTTTGGGGAGTAGCCCTTTAGAAGCTCCAGAGTTCTTCTCTGACTCAGATTAAAATCCAGATTGGAGGAAGCTTCTCTTACCACTCTGCTTTGAAGTGTGGAAGGTTTGAGGCAAACATTATCATGCTCTCAGAGCAAATTCCCAGGACTGAGCCCCAAGACAGAACTTTATACAGCAAAATGAAGTGAACTGCTTCAGGCAGCACAGGTTTGGGGTAGGGAGTGGAACAGATGAAGGTGGCTGAATAGTGAGTGCCTCAAGATCAAATGTTATTCCCAGCCTGATGAGGAGTACCATTTGGGCCTTCTTCAAGCAGTGCTTCAGAGACTTTTGATGTAATTTTGATGGCGCGCCTGTAAAATATTTGTGTAGGGCTATTATCTATTTGTCATGGCATGACATGCTAGAGTACTTCTCTCTGTGATTGGAGGTGGGCCTCATTTACTTACATGGGGTGCACTGTCAAGAAATTATTGCTGAGGAGTGCAACTGAAGTGTTACTGGTCTTCCACTGTCTGTTACCTTTTTGTTTTTCATTCAAGCTTGCAAGAACATAAGCTGTGGATCTCACAGAAAATGTTGTCATCAAAGTAATAACCCAGAATTATAAGAATAGAAAATTAAATGATTTAAGCAGGTATCATTCGTGTGGAATCCCTATTCTCTTAACATGACAATCCCAACAACAAGCCATGCTGACTTTCTGGTTGGCTTGTGTGTACACACTCATATAGCAGGGATGTGATTTTAATTTGCCAAGAATCCACAGAGCAAAGGGGTGTTAGATTATATGACTGTTAGGTTACTGCTAGTCCTGCAATTCCAAGATTGTCCCTCAAGTGTAATAGTCAAGGCATGGCAACGCAAGCCAGTTCAGGTTAGTAAATTTTGGTTGGACTTCTGATAAGACCAGTTACAAAGCTGGTGGCTCTGTAACTGCTGTCAGATAGGTTTAAAACATTCTTGCCCTCTCACCTGCTGAGATGAAATTTTCAATCCACCAAATGCTGCTAAGCCCAAGCAGTTTTCAAGAAGCTTGAATGAAGAAAAGTCTGATGAATCTCCACACTAATATATAACAATTGCATGTAGATAAAATGAGATAAGTTGTCAAGGAACAAATGAAAGCAAGACTGTCAGGGATAGCTGGGTAAGATACGAAACTAAATAATAAAACTGTGCCTCATAAATGTACAAGTGGTAATTAATGTCAAGATATTGTATTAGACTTCCAGGTGACAACAGAGAGTAAAACAAAGGGTCCCAACAAGTAACCAAAGCAACACCAACAGATTGAGGGAATGAAAGCCAGAAAGACCTTAACAGAAATTCGAAAGAAAAGGCTGAGCGGATAATGAACAGGCATTAATTGAGGCCTTGTTCAGTAATACATGATCCAACCAATTGTGTTTCCCGGTAGAAAATGGTACACAAGAATTAGAAGAAGGCACTGAACATCCAATTTATTTGTCATAAGGGAACAAAATGCCTTATGGCCTACAATCCCTGCTGATTTAGAAAGATCCCCTGCTGTAAAATTTTAGACTATAAACCAGAGTCCTGTTTAATTTATATTGTTTTGGATGGCTTGTTTAGCCAGAGAAATTTTTCTTTGACTTGTGAACTGCTTGCCCTCATTCTGTAGTTGGCAGGATCTAAAGACTGAAATGTTTGAAGCAGGGCATGGATTCGGGATTTGGAAAAATAACCTTGGCCACCTTCTGAATTTCAAAGAGATGCATTCTCTAGTTCTGACTTGAGCAGTACAAATCAAGGGAGCTTACAATAAAATATATTGGTATGGTAATGGAATCCCCAAATCATCGGAATGAATGGGAAGATGTGTAGCATAGTTAACTACAGAGTGGAATCCAACAAGTGGAAACCTCCTGGAATTTGCTGTGGCAAGAAGAGGACTTCCTGTTTTCCCAACCCCACCATGTTGCTCTTGGTAGATTTTTCAGGGAGTGAGCATGTGTTGTTAGTGGGTGGGGGGAGTAGGGAGGTTGATTGGACCTTCTTCCATATTGTGTGCATACCAAGGACAGATGTGCTAGTGACTCTTCCCCCTCTGAAGAGTAATCTTTATCTTGTGAAGGAGAACAGAGATGGAAGGGTTAAATTCTGAAGCAGAGTCTGTAGATCTGAATGTTTGGGGGATCTAATAGGTTGACTGCCTTTGTGTGATCTCAGACGATCCTAAACATACCGTGTCACTCTGCACAACACCACTTGTCATTGTGTGCTGTTTTAACATTCTTCTAGGCAAGCCTCGGAGGCTGTGTTAGGATGATTGTCACGGGAGCTGCTCCTGCCTCCCCCACTGTCCTGGGCTTCCTCCGAGCAGCCCTGGGATGCCAGGTATGTTGCAGCTAGTCAGCTAGGCAGGTGCATGTTTTTTGATCTAAAAAAAATCTGTTCTTTTTAGAGAAAGGCACTTAAATGTCTGTTGGAGAATCCTGTAAGGACCATAATGGAAGTAGGCTCAATATATATTTAGTAAAACCTTATCAAGATGAGTTTTATATTAAACATTTCAGTCCCTTAGAAACATAATCTCAAGAGAACAAGCTAGTAACAAGGACCAAATCTGAAATTAGTGCTTGGATGTTTACCATGTTAGCAGGGAGAGCATCATTACAGACAGAACGGGCCAAATTATAAAGTGGGGGCAGGGGGAGCTAATATGTCTTCCAGCAATATCTTAGGAGAGCATCCCTAACAGCATTTGTGTTCCGAAGATAGTGCCCCCACCCCCAGCACCATTTAAATAATAACATAAAGACATTCGCTACCCTTAAATCTGCCAGTGAGCAGGCAGTGAAGCTGGCAGCATGGGCCATGCATCCACATCTTTCCTTCTGCCTTGGCTGCAGCCACTAAAATACCCTGTAGGGATGGCAGAGACCTGTCACACCAGCCTGGACTAACAATATCACTGGCCAATGTCAATAATCCAAATCTCAGTCAGTCTCCATTGTTCTTCTTGACCTGGGGTGCAGAATTTGAAAATATGCCCTCTCTCCATTCTTCCCAAGGAGTTTGTGTAATGGAGAAAATTCTTCTTTATCTCTCAGTTGTTTTTGTCATCTCCAACTTTGGGAATCAGAAGGGGTTTTGTTATACAAAGTTGCCATGTGTATTAGTCATAAGGATAGAAATGTGGCTCCTGAGCACAGTGCTGCAAAGAAAATATTGCTTGCTCCCTGGTGTTGAAGTAAAAACTAAAATTAATGTTGCAGGTTTATGAAGGCTATGGTCAAACAGAGTGTACAGCTGGCTGTACCTTCACTACTCCAGGAGACTGGACGTCAGGTACTAGATGAAAGATCTAATTACATTTTGAAGTACCAACACATTTGGTCATTTAGGCCTTGAAAGCAGCCTTGCATCAGCTAAGATGCGATGTGGGCGCATGGAGGAGAATTGCATGTACAATAACTGTGCATCCTTGCTGTCTTTTGATCAACATTTTCCCTGCCAAAGAGGAAAGCAGCTTTTCCAACCAATCAGTCATGTGTTTTTTCTACAGCAGGAACTAGAACTGTGACTAATGTCAGAGTGTATATTGTATAACACATGTACACTCCCTGACTGTATCTCATTTAAATTCTGTAAGCACCCATCCCTCTTTTGGAACCCAGCCTAAGTACTTATGAGAGATTGTGCTCCTGTTTGGATTTTGCGTTCCCCTTGGAATTGTCCTCGGGAACAGGGGGAGCTCATGACTATGTGCTTCTTCTCTGCACTGCAGGGACCAGTAATTTTGCCATTTCTTTTTTATTAGATAAACGATAAGCATGCATATAACTGCTTCAGCAAAGTTGCAGTAGTTATGTGACACTAATCTGATAAGTTTATCTTACTTTTTTTGGAAACACTTTAAAAAGGCACTATTTCTCCATGTAATTTGCAGGTCATGTAGGAGCACCTTTGCCCTGTAATTTAATTAAGTTGGTGGATGTTCAAGAGCTGAATTATTTTTCTTCCAAAGGAGAAGGAGAGGTAACATGTATATTATTAAATTTATTCCTGTTTCATTTATTCTTTTTTAAAACCAATTAACTACAGTGGTACCTTGGCTCACGAACTTAATCCATTCCAGGACTCTGGTTGTGGCCCAAATTGGTCGTGAGTCAAGTTAAATTTCCCCATAAGGTTCAATGTAAATAAGGTTAATTTGTTCTGTAGCTATTTTTTTACTCACAAAAAATTGAAGCAAAGTGACAAACAACAACAAAGATCCATGGCCATCCCCTCCCCCCTGCCGAGCGCAAGCACAGCTATCTCCCCGCCCTTCCAGCCCGACCACGCCTGTCATCCCTGCACGCGCCTGTGATCCTGGCGCACTGGGGTGGGGGGAGAGGGGACATGAATGTGGGCGGTGTGGGGAGAGACGGGCATGAACGTGGGCACACACGGGGGGAGACGGGTGCAATCATGCTGAGGGGCGAAATGGCTGAGATCGCGGTTGTGCTCTTGCAGGAAAGACGGGCGCAATCACGGGTGTGCCCATGCTGGAAAGACGGGCACGATCCTGGCCATCTACCCCCTGCCCCCAGCACAATCATGGCCATCTCCCCACTCGGGGGTGGGGGTGGGGAGTTGGTCACGATCGCGGCTGCCACCCAATGTGGAGTTCATGCTGAGTCAATTTTTTAATGAAATTTTTGTTTGCAACCCAATTTGGTCGTGAACTGAGGCGTTCGTGAGCCGAGGTACCACTGTATTTGTGGGGGGCAGGATCCATGGCTCCTCCAGACCAGGTGTGATGGGCAGCAAAGTAGGTTGCTCCTGGACATGATAAATCGGACAAGAAGTAGCAAGGATATCCTTGGGTACTCTAAAAGCAAAGCACGCAGGCAAGTCAGTCTTTTGGCTTCATTCTTTTGAGTACTGATGGTCGTCCCCCAGTGCCTGGTAGTAGCAGGAACAACTGGAACTGCCAGGAGCTTGGGGTTGGGGGTATGGGGTGCTTCATGGTAACTTACAGTACAATCCTGTGGTCCTCAGGAAGGCATCTGGGGGGCCATAAAATAGTGTAGATCTCCTTCTCTGTCTATAGGAAGGAAGATACACTCATGCAAGTTCTTTCTTTGGTGACTTCATTGTCTTTACTGCTCCTCCACTGGTGCCTTAGCTGCTGCCAGAAAGTCCTTGAATCTGGTGTACTCACATGTTCTTCAGACATTTTTAAAGTTATGCTCATGGGCAAGTGTTTATAAAATAAGGGTTCCTTGGGTGTCAAGAATGTTGTCCCAGTTCAGCCTCGAGGTTGAAGGTCTTCAGGATTCTTAATGTACTTTTCCCCATTTATGTGAAATCGTGACTGAATTTCACCTCCAACTTTATTAACCTCCAACTTTATCTCTCTTGCAGATCTGTGTGAAAGGTCCAAATGTTTTCAAGGGCTACCTGAAAGACGAAGAAAGAACCGCTGAAGCACTGGACAAGGATGGATGGCTTCATACAGGGGATGTTGGAAAGTGGTTGCCAGTATGTACAGAGCTGCTAACTTTTCGTGTCAGAGGAACCCTATTAAGATTGCAGTTGAAAATCTGCATCCTTGCACAGAACACTCCCACTTGGTGTACTGGGACTCAGAAGGAGTAAAGGAGTTTGGCCGTGCATTCATGAGTACAATGGCAAGCTAAGGATCCAGAACCTTAGTTCTATGAGAGTAAGGATACTGCTGCCACAGTGTATATCCTCTGCCCTGCAGTCCCTCTGCTGCACCCTCTAAATCTGCTCTGGAGGATCGGGGGACCCTTCACATGAGATTTGGAGGGTGCATGACATTGCCGGCAAGGAGCAAGGGGAGCAGTGGGGTCCAGAAATCCATCCCACCAGTGATATCCCTCTGCTGGCTGGATCCAAACCTGAAAGTAAAGGTAGCGTGATGCTAGTAAGAGCCTGTGTAATGTAATAGACTGTGTATCAGACTTGAATTGGGGAGATCAAGCTTCAAAGCCCTGGGTTCAAAATCATGGGGTGACTGGATTGGTCACTATTTTTCAGGCTAAACTGCCTCAATGGTTTGTTGCTAGCTGTTTAGAGGAAGGAAAAGATCTAAATAAGACAAAACCAGATTAATATCTGGGTTTGTGGTACTAAACACACTAACAAGCATGTAAGTCTCACGGAACATATATGGTAGGACTTTCATCCCAGGAAGCAAATACAGGACTGTGCTGAAGGCCACAAGCTGTACTCTTATTGCCAATTTAAGAAGCCAAAGACGTGACCTCAGCTTCTCCTGCCCATTAAAAGAAATTGAATTCTGCTCCACCTCAAGAGGCCTGCAACATGCTGCAGCCAAGTTGCCCCACGATTTTTCATAGACTGCTTGTTGCTGTTTTTACTCACAGAATGGTACTCTAAAAATCATCGATCGAAAGAAGCATATATTTAAATTGGCTCAGGGAGAATATATTGCACCAGAAAAAATTGAGAATATCTACATCCGCAGTGAGCCTGTCTCTCAGATTTATGTGCATGGAGATAGCTTACAGGTAACATTAATCATTCCTATATGTGTCCTGCAGTTTGGTCAAATTTTATCCCTGTTTTGTAATTTGAATGCCTCAGTCGTCACTTCCTGGGAATTCCATTTCAGAACAGGCCAGATGTAACCTTCATTTCATTTCTGGACTGAGGGTGTCTTCAGTGTTGTACCACATTGAAAATAGGATTTTGCAGAGTTGTTTAAATGTCTGAAGGAAAGTGCAGATGCAAATAGTTTGCTTCATCTTTCATGTATATGAAATCAGGGAACAGCATGCATGCATTATAATTTCATCACTTGCGGGTTCAGGATAAGGTGCATAGTGGATGTAGGCTGATGGTGAAGTGATTTGCTTAGCAGATATGTTAAAGTGCTAGAAAAGCAGTTTGCTAAATGCAACATTGCATTCTCTTACTAATGCCCAGTGATGGGATACATGGCAAGTTATCTGGATATTGTTAATCATGGACTGAGTTCTCATGTAACAGGTCACTGTGGGTCACTTGATTTGGTCACAGTTGGTTGGGACCACAATTGCATGTACTTGTTACTTCCAGCTTGCAGGCAGATTAGAAAACAGCCAAGGAACGTCCTGTTCCTGGGTGGTGTCAGTAGAAAGTGTGACCCCAAATTTCTGGGTTGTTGAAGGGGAGACATTCAAAAGTTTTAACCATGAGTTAAATTGCTGGGTTGCTTCCCCCTCAACAGACCAGAGTCACACTTGCTTGCTCCTGCATTGTCCTGGTGACATGGGTGGTTGTTATGTGCAAACTGGGCCACTGATTTGCATGTCTAGTGCTGCAGCAAGGAAATGTAAAGTCCTGGACATACGTAGTGGTCTTACAGGGGCCCCTTTGGGATGGCCTTATGTCAGCTGGAAAGCCCATAATGGACACTTTCTCTTCTCCCTCCTTCCCCACTGCCATTCCCAATTTTGCAATTGCATTCCTCGTGGGTAAGACTCAGCAAATCTGTTTGGCAACACCTATAAAAAAAAAGAAACCCTGTGTACATGTGGGTTGTTCCATTTCAGGGCTGCTATGGAATGTTCCTCAGTTGCCTAGATGCTCAACTCATTTACTTTGGAATAAGCATCATTTTGTTGCAGAGAATGATAATGTGTTTTAGAAATAACAACATGAGCATTTGTGACTCTGTACTTTCCTGGCTGGCTGCCCCCTGATTATAAGGATTTCTTTTAGAAATACTGTAATGAGATTACTGATTCTGCAGCAATTGCTGTCAGCCCCAGTGGACCATTTCAGGCCCACGCCTGCCCAGCTGGTGAAGCCAGACCTGCTGGCCACTCCACTCATCACCTGTTCCTCTCTGTGTGGATTTGGAGCGGTCCTTTCCTGTGACCCCTGGATGTCTTCCTTAAGAACTAACTCATGTGGCATCATTGCACAGATCTTGCCATGGCTGCCTGGATAGACAGGCAGATCACTTGTGTGCAGAGGCAGGGCATTTGCACACACACATGCACCCATGTTCAGATGTTGTCACTGGTCAATACTGGGGGAACTGCAGAGGAGAAATGGAAGTAATGTTTCTGCAAAACCATTTGCTTGAAAGCTGTTATCAGAAGTTACAGAACAGCATATGGCATCCTGCCCCACTCTCAGTCCCCTTCCTGCCCAGTTCCACAGATTTGTACCCACGCACAGATCTCTGGTGTTCAAGGTAAGCAGCAGCTGCCAGGCCAGTTTTGGGAAATGGGAGCAAAGGTCAACAAACATTAGCAACACTCCTCTTTAGAAGCAGGAAGAGCACGGACAAGGACAAGGACAACGAGTTGAGCATGTTATGCTGTGTCATGGATGTTTCTCCCAATTTTATCTCTTACCTTGCAGGCCTTCTTGGTAGGGATTGTTGTACCGGATACTGAAGTCATGCCAGGCTGGGCCAAGAAAAAGGGCTTTGATGGAACTTTCGCCGAGCTTTGTAAAAATGTGGTATGTTCTCTATGCACAATATGTGCATGCGCTAGAAGCATCAAGGATGTGCTGGTTTGGCAAAATTGTAAAAGAGACAGACATAAATTATGTTCTGCATTGATGGATCACAGTTTACCGGTGCACTAGAAAAGCTTTCTGGCCGAGCCTTTAAATAGCCAGAAATAAAGGTGATGGCACACTTTGAAATGCTTAAGGGCCAGATTGCATCCTATTTGTGCAGTAAGAAAAAAGAGCAGGAGTGTAGGGGTATGTAGGGTAATCTGGACAAGATCAACAGCATGTGGGAGGAGACATGACTATGTGCCATTGTTTTGCCCCAAGGCCAATATTTGTCCAATAGGACTTGTGTCTGTGTGTGTGCTGGGGGGGGGGGTGATTTTCACAGGGAAATTGAGATTGAACTCACAACCAACCTCAATTTAAGACCAAAAAGTGGCTTGTTTGGTCATATAAATGGGCCATGGACATTTATAAGTGCACTAATTAAAGTTGCTTTTAAAGTAACATGGTTAGACCCCATGTGTGTAGCTCACCGCTGTTTTAGGGGCTGGAACATCTGTTCAGAGGATTCCACTGGATAAACACAGTTGCACATTACGGAAGTAGCCAGCACAGCATCTTGAATGCTTTCCACTTTCTTTTTCAGTATTGTTCCATTGCTACATAAGAAATCCCTTGTTCACGTTTTTCTTGGTTTGAGCTGGGAATTTTAAAGCTGATGCCAAATAGTAAGATTCCTTTGCCATTGCCTAGTCTAGAGAAACTGGCAATATTCCAGAGAAAATATAGCCAAGCTGATGAAGAGAAGGTTTTAACATCTGCTGCGGATGCTCCAACACTTCATCTCCATAGCAGAAATGTTAACTTCAGTGGGAGTCGTAGTTGTAACTTAGTTGGAGAGCTAATGTAGCCATAGGAATGAAACTATATCCTTCTAGTAACCACTTCCACATTGCTGGGATGTGTGAGACTAATTCAGATGCTTGATTAAGAAGGCTGAGGAAGCAGGTATTCAGCGCTTTTTTAAAAGGTTGCAACCGCCTCAGAATAGGCAAAGCTCAGTGTGCATGGATAGCAAGCATTATATATATTCTAATGGTCATGGACACTGTCATAGCTATGGGGAGTTATGGCACTGTAGCTACTGCTTTCCGTGGAATAGCAATTACCAGTCATTTTAGAACCTCCATTTAAAAAAAATATTTTTTTGGTTTATAAATTCCTCCATACTTTCTGAAATCCCAAGTAAAGAAGCAGGAGTTAAGAAAGCTGAAAAACAGACCCATGCCAAAATAAGGATTTGAGTCCCTCTCCTGCAAGTATATACAAATTTACTTGGAAAATACAAATCCATAGAAACTTGTGCACAGTGATTCACAGGACCAAAATGCTGGTTATTATCCTACAGCAGGGACAGGGAGCCATTTTCATTTGAAGAAGTGTTACTGGCCAGAAGAGTCAGTCAGGGCCAACAGTCATTTGGGGGCTGAGCCAGAGCCAATGATAGGCAGAGACAGAACCAAAATTAGACAGCATTTGCAGTGCTACAGAACCCCTTCCCTCTCCGTGCCACCTATGCCTTCTCCATCTCCCTTGCATGCAGAAAATACAGTAAATTCAGAAAAAAGAAGGATCATTTGAATGTTGATAGGGCTATTTTTTGTTGGTAAATAGAACCAATGTGGTGTAGTGGTTAAGAGGGAGGGACTGAAATTCAGGTGATCTGGGTTCCAGTCCCCATGCACCCATGGAGCACTGAGTGACTTTGGACCACTCACTGACTCTCAGCTCAACCTACCTCACAGGGTTGTTGTTGTGGGGATAAGACAGAGGAGGAGGAAGAAAATGATGTAAGCTTGTTTGAGTTCATTGGGGGAAAGTGGGATATAAATCTAATAAATAACGAGAACTTTCTGTCTTAAATATCTCCTATGTTCTTATTTAGGAGCTGAAAAAAGCAATAATGGAAGATATGGTGCAGTTAGGAAAAGAGAGTGGACTTCATTCCTTTGAACAGGTAAAACTGAAATGCTAATAGTTTTGTTCATATCAAATGAGCCTCTTTTTTAAAAGGAATAGGTAAAGATCTTGGCATGTGTTATATAAAATCCCAAGTGCCTTTGTGATTCATTCAGTTCACTTTTATTCTGTATATGTATTTAAAAATCTCCATCTGTTTAGGAATGTATGAAATGTAATTTTAATGAAAGTCTCCTTATGATAGATAACATGATGAAACGTTTGATGTGCTGTTCCACCCACCCTAAGAACAGGACTGGAAAGATAGTCCAGGCCCTTAATTACCATTCTTATAGCTGACCTGGAAAACGCAGCTGCTATGTTTGCTCTTTGTGCAGAGACTAATCTCTTCCTGACGTATGCATGGATATTTTTGCAACAGACAAATAGAGGAAGTTTTCAAATACACAACCATCTATCACTTAAATATTACTTTTCCCACATGGATATGCACACAGACACATGGATGAGTACTCGTATTAAAACCTCCTTTAGGAAGTATCATCTTAAATGTTCTGTTGCAATTCTGTTTTTTTAAAAGTAGTTATAGCAACTATAAGTAACATTCAAATTATTAAATTTCTTATATGTGTGTCTAGATGTTGAAACATCTTGAAAATACACTATAGAAAGTCTCACAAAGCTTTTCTGAATTAATAGTTTGCCTGCATTTTTACTTTTGAAGTGAGCCAGGAAGGAATATAGAGAAATCCATCTGGTACACGTGAGCTATAGTTTGTTAACCACGCCACAATCATACGAACCGGAGCATAATCACATATGAAACGTTGCTATTACTGGTTGCTGCATCATGCATCTTAATCAAGCCATTTTTTCTCTGAACATCACAGCAATCATTCTGGAAGCGATTATAGCAGGGGTGGGTGACACAGAGCCCAAGTTGCCCAAGAACCCGGCTGCTTGCTAGCACAGTTTGGAAGCAAACCACTATGAATTCTTAGGACAGACAGGCAACTGTCTGCTTTAAGCCTCTGCAGCAGCTTGCTGCCGAATTTCAGGGATGTGGCTGTGGCAGGAAAGTGATCCATGGAAGAGTGCAGGCCAGGAGTGGAGAGTAGCCCTAAGACTCTGCAAGGCTGCTCACCTCTCAAAGCCCCTCAACTGGCCTTGCCCCACCCTGTGGTTCCTGCCAGTACCAGCCAGGTAGATATGGTTGGGCACCTGCCAAGGGCCCTCACCCCCATAGGGGACAACTAAGCAGAGTCCTCTGGGGTTGCTCCTCCTCATCACTATTGCATTCTGCTTATTTTCCTACCTCTTGCTGTAGAAGATGGTGGTGGAGAGCAGTAAGTTGCCACAGCCTGTCTGCTCTTAGCCTGGCAAGCAAATAAATGGCAGCATTGATGAGAGAGGAAGCAGAGCGATAGCAGCTGGTGCCCATGCTGGTACAACTCAGTGAGGGAGGGGGCCTGTGGAGGGCATCTCTTCTGGGGGTCATGCAAAAACTGGAGTTGGCATGGAGTCAGGCACCTCCCTTGTGCACTAAGTGCCACCCCATTTTAAGTGGAGAGTGGCACGCAAAAGGATTTGACTGGCGAACCACCCCTGCAGGAGCAGACTGAAGAGCCCTAAGCTTACCCAGATACATTTGGTTTTCTCTCTGCTGTCATCACTCAAGGGGAAGGTATGAGAAAACTAGAAAGCATGCAGAATACAACCAAGAGGAGAGAGCTAAGCCCAAGATGCTGAAAAAATGTTCTGTCCTTTAAGAATCCCAAGGGCATTTTGGCCCAATATATTATTTGCAGTCTTCTTTGGGGATTTGAAGATAGCCTTCTTAAAGAATAAACCAGTCTTGGGGTTTCTTAAAGAATAAACGATCTCTTAAAAGGATATTTTTGCAGCATGCTCTTGAGGCCAGCTCTCTCTTCTTAGATGGAGTTACTGTAGTGGCAAGCTGCCTTCTCACTGCAGGATCATCCACAGATTGGTACCACCAGATTACTTTTAACCCACTATGTTTACTATCTGTGCTAGATGCTTCACAGCTTCTGGGTGCCTCCATGGCGCATCATTGTGCTCAGGACTTGATGTGACCCAACTGAGCCATCCGATGATTGAATGGACAGTGTCCTTTTCCAGCATTTTGATCCGTTGCAGTAGCCTGTGTGGCATATACACTATGCAAGTTGTTCTCTTTCAAGAGTAACACACTCTTTAGCAATACCTATCTCTCTGAGCTTCCTTTAAGATGCTTCCAAAATAATGCCTTGAAAAACTTCTTCCTAGCAGAGAAAAATCCCTCTTTGTTACATTATTGGGCAGTGCAAAAAGTATTTCTTGATTTTAAACTCGCATTTTTCTATGTCAGTTATCTCTGCCGAAAGTGAAGAGATCTCAGCTTGCCCTAATTATGTCTTGGTTCTAGAAAATTGAGTCTTTTCATATTTGTATTTGATGCTGATATGCATTTTTAAAACCCTGTTGATTAAATATGCATTGTGCCTGCAATTAAATGATAAGTATTAAGAGACTGAATATTCACCACACTGTGTTTCTGCCTATATTGAGCAGACATTTAGAGTAAGGAAAGGTCTCTGGAACAGAGGAAATACCTGTTGAAAGAACCTGTAAACTCCAGCCTGTGCATATCTATGAGGTACCAGTAGTAGAAACTGTCCTTCCTTGCCAAATAAACATATATAGGATTGCAGCCTAAATCCACAGTAAAATTCACATTTATATTTCTTGGCTACCAGCACATGGCAATAAAACAAACAAAACCAATATAATATTGAGGGTGATAAAAACAAAATAATACAGTAAGAACACAATAAAAGCAACAAGAAACCCCAAGAAAACCAGCTATAATTTCAGAAGGAGGAGAAGGCTAATAATGTTATCAAGGTTTTCTTAAAAACTTGCAGTGATACAGCATTGTGAACACCTGGTGGCAATTTATTCCAGAAGGATGGGGTCACTACAGAGAAAGCCTTCTCTTGTATGATCACCCACCCACTTACTGCTTGCACTGGCAGGCAATTTATTTATTGTAAGCCATCCTGAGATGTTCTGTAGGGGATGGGATAGAAAAGCTTTGAATGAATGAATGAATGAATGAATGAATGAATGGGAAGGGTCCTGTCTTGCTGGTCTTAATGTACAGGCAGGTTAATATGTGTGAAGGCAGCCCTTTAAGTCATTTGGACCCAAACCATTTAAGGCTTTAAAGACTAAAATCTTTAAATTGCAGAGGATGATGATAATGTAAACTGCCTTAGATTTCTGCTTGGTGTGGGGAGAGGCAGGATATCAATATGTAAAGGCTAGCACTTTAAATTAGGTTCAGAAACACAGTTGTAGCCAGACCAGGTGGAATGGTATAGGTGCCATATGACTGAATTGTTGACCAAATAAATGGTCAGAACCCTGCTATTTGTTAGACTTGGATTATTGCACGTCTGAAGACCCAAGGAAAAACTATGAGCTATCACATCAGCTATTCTGCTTTATTGAACATGTAAGCATTTTTTCTAAATACAATATAATAGGTTTATATTATTTTTCATTTTCAGGTTAAAGGTATTTACATCCACTCTGAAATGTTCTCTGTACAAAATGGCTTGTTGACGCCTACACTAAAAGCTAAGAGACCAGAGCTGAGAGAATACTTCAAAAAGCAGATAGAAGAGCTTTATTCAAGCATCTCCATCTGACAGCACAGGAAAGTTCTTCAGAATAATGTACTCTGTAGCAATATTAGGATAATACTGAAGAGTGAAAAGGATGCCATTGAAATGAATAAGTATCTGACCTCCCATGTGAGCCTTCCGCTCTCTGAAGATACAGTCACTGATTCTTTGTCCCTCTAGTTCTAGTTCTTGCTGTAATGAATGCTCTAGAACAGGAGTGCAGAACATGTCATACTCCAGATGTTGCTGGACTACAGCTCCCATCAGCCTTAGCCAGCACAGCCAATAGTGAGAAGTTGTGGCAGTTGCAGTCCAGTGACAAATGAAGGGCCACACATTCCCTCTCCCTGCCTTAGAAGATTGCTTAAAACAAAACTGGACAACCATTAAGCTGTTTTAAGTTCTACTCCTTCCAGAAACAAATTGTTTTTACCTTACCAATTCCTTACCAACACAAAGTGGCTTAGATCTACCTATTTTGCATGACTGTCCTCTAATCTTACTGAATCTTGTTTCAGTAACCAATCTTAGTAGGGTTACCAAGGTATTTCTCTAGATGGAGACTCTTAAGTACTCTGTAGCAGCAAGAAGTTCTTGCCCTGATTGACAGGATATACCTCCTGTACACACCTTCCTTAGTAGGACACAGCCTCCTTTTCTGGTTGCTGTTGTGTGCAAACATAGCCAAGAACTCTTGACTTCAACCAAGCTCTTAAAAGTACTAGAGTCCTGCTTAGGGAGGTACCTGACAAAGACTAGTGGTCTACCTCAAATGATCTCTGATGGTCAAAGCCACAAATAAATTGGTTTCTTTGATCTAGAACTTAGAACTGGAATTGCTCGATTGTTCTTTAAATCTTTCTCTTTGTGTGTGTAAGACAGACAAAATATACCCTGAATGTATTTGTGTAATTAATTTGCACAAGAACAGAAGTAAGAATTACTAGTGGCACGTGGTAGATGAAAAGTAACCTCTAATTGTCAGCAATGCTGTGGGCCTTGAAATTCTTTGTATTTCTTGTGTCTATAATGACAAGCACTTTCTTAAGGGCCATGTTGAAGGTTTCTAAAACGTGAAATATACTGTAGATCAGGGATGGGCAAGGTCCGTGGGCTGTACTTTTTAAGGAATTTTATCGCCTTTTGTTTGGGGTGCTACAAACAAAAGAAACTTAGGAAACAGGAAGATAGTTGGAATAAATAATATTGCATAGTTTTGCTGCTTCCACTCTCCGCACTGTGTGCCCTAAGTATTTCATTCTGGCAGATTAGCTAAACCATGGAGGCTTTGAGTCCCAGCTTTCCCTTGGTGCCACTATCTAGTGAACTTCAGGACTCAGTATTCAGCAGGCTTCAAATAGCTGAAAGACTCTGCCCAGCCTCAACATACAGCAGATTAGCTGAATACAGCATCACATCTTAAGGCGTTTGAGGCTGGAATGAAGCATCTTTCTCTTCAGAACTGGCATCAACTGCTTTTCCTCCCATAACTGGCTTGTTCTCACCACCAGACCTGTGTCTCGTCCAAATCACAGTTTCTTACCCCTTCCAATCATCATCTGCCTCCTTTCAGTAAATCACACCAAGCACTTTCCACCCTTGATAGCTATTTTGCAAAGGTTAACTTAGCTGAATGAACGATGCAAAGGCAAAAAAGAGGCTTTCCCTACATCTTAAGGCTTCGTTTTTGTCTGCAGCATCAGGGCACATCTGCCTAAATGTTCATGGTTTTAGCAGGGAAACTTAGTACTCACTGCAAAGAACCTGCCTGCATCTTCATGTGGTGAAGCCTTCTCAAACCTGCTGCCCACCAGATGTTTTAAACTTCAATGCCTATCTAGCAGTGTCAGTAGTCAAAAACATCTGGATGGCTTTAGATTAACGAAGACTGAGGTAATATAGTTATTGCCAGTTCTGAAATAGTTTGAATCAAGGCTTATGAGTGGTATTGCCACAACTGTATGAGCCTTGCCATAGAACTAAATCCTCTGATAGAAGGTTATGCCTTCTCTGAAAGCATCCGTGCGCAGCAACTTGCACAGAAATAGTTTGTGATCATGTGGACAGGTGTAGCCTGTCCAACTTGGCTCAAATGTTACTTCTTCTATGGAACTTCATCCACCTGGAAGTTTTTAGAACATTTGAAATTGTCCCACTACATCAAGAAGTAATCCAGGGTTTGAGTCAACTGAACTTTGACCCATAAATATCTCCATATCATTTTACTAATTATAAGTACAAATATATTATCTCTCTCTACATAAAAATGGGAGCTAGTGTGGTATAATAGTTAAAAGTGCAGGCTGGGACTCAGGTGATCTGGGCTCTAGTCCCTACTCAGTCATGAAGCCACCTGGGTGGCTTTGAGCAAGTCACAGACTCTCAGCCTAACCTACTTCACAGTGTTGTTGTGGGGATAAGATTGAGAGTAGCAGGAGGAGAATTATGTGAGCCACTTTAGATTTTTAAAAAATGGTGAGATATAACTCAAATAAGACTGGTAGGTCAGTGAAGGCAAACTTTGCTCTTTTTTACAATAGACCCTAAAAGATTTAAGCTGAACTAAACCTTTGATCTAAATTTGCCATATAATTTTCTTAGAATGCCATAGCTGGAATTGAACATAGAAAAGTAAAACAAACAAGAGACAGTGAATCAGTGAACAAATTTTTAGGCAGAGCCTGGTTTATTGATGTCTGGTCTAAAGAAACTATTAAGGTTTCAAATGGGACTGCACATGTGATGCAGTACTTCTGGTCCATAATAGTTTCTCTGTGTTTTTCAAATGCATGTCCTGCCATCTTAATTGGCCAACTACAGAAATTTTGCCTAATGCTGGCAAGAGGTTATTCTCAAGCTTCTTTCTCTAGTCATATCAGTGCATCGTAGTAAAGAACAGTATTGGTTTTGGGCAGCCTTCCTCAATTTGGTGCTGCTGAGAACAATGAGATTTGTAGCCCAACACAGCTGGAGGGCTCCAGGTTGGGAGAGGCTGGTTTAGTATCTTAATTCTACCTTTAAACAATGGTCTGTAACTTAAATCCAAAGCTGAATACTAAGCTGCAGTATAGCAGGTGATGATAACACTTAACATTCTTTGGATAGAGAAGTATAAATGCATCATCTCCACATTATTCCTAACTAGATTGATGTATCACTCGGGAAGAACTATTTTAATGCTCATGTTCGTAGCTATAAATTCTGCAGAAAATCGGCACATACATTAAACTAGTCCACATGGTTTTGTCTGTGTGCAGTTGGCACTGACCCAAAAACACTCTCATGGCCTCATTTCCTTACACTTGAATTTGAGGTTGATGTGTATTAAACTTTACTTTTACTTAAGGCAAGCATAGGCCTATATTTGGTGTGATCCAGACAAGTACTCTTAAATTGGATTTTAATTAGAGAATCAAGAATGTTCTTAAACCTTTCTCATTCAAATGAAAAGGACTTACATTGCTTCACGATGACTGGATGATGCCTCTTTTTCTGAGTAACGAAGTTTTTGTTTTAGTTGTGCATTTCCCGCTCAAGGATCTGCAGTTTAAAGCACTGTGAGGAAAATGCCAGTAAATCTAACCTTCCCCAGTCTTGTGATTGAGTTGTGCATGCTGTTCTCTGCTCAGACATTCACACTAGGTTCTGTTCTTTGAAGCATAAAAAGGACTCAAGCTAAGACTTGGCCCCTATATCCATATTAGACTTGGAAAAATGCATACCACTGTATTTGGGCAAATGGGAGGAACACTGTAGCTTGGGGATGGATTGGTACTGGCAATCCATTTCTGATATAACTTGAAATATCTGTCCTGGATTCAAGAAGTATGTGGGATTAAGTATCTTTAAACTTTATGCACTCCTTATTGCACTATCATGGACTCTGCTTTACTCATGGCTTTATACCCCACTGTTACCATTACATGTAAGATCCTGGCAGCAGTGAATCAGATCAAGTGTATTGGAAGGCCCCATGCTCTACTCTACCTACACAGGGCAGTATCACTGGCGCCATGCCACTAGCCTAAAGGAGATCATGCTGGTAGAAATTAGGTTCTGAACTGCCCAAGAACCGTATCCACTGCAAGTTATATTGGTGCAAGTGGTTGCACAGTAGAAAGATTTGGTGGCACTCCTGTAGTAATATTTGAGGATACTTCCCATGGTTTTGTACCACTCTAATGCATCTACTCATGGGGGAAATACGCAGAATCAGAACATTGGCACTAGTGCTAATAACTCTATTCGAAAAGATGCCAGTAATATGTAATATAATGCATAGGTGTCTGTGTCTAGCACAGCCAAGATGTTATGCTGGCAGGCAGAAGCCACACACCAGTCAGCTAAAACCAGGACCAACAGCTATGAAATCCTATTCACAAGCAAGCCAGGAATACTTGGCCAGTGGAGTCAACATTTCTGACATATTTTGATTCATAACCTGGATGCTAGGGAAAAAGAGGTTAATTTGGTAACAAAATTACTGGAATTACACTGACACACATTCATCATAACAGTCAGAATTATACAGAACTGCAGTTCCTGAACTAATTAGTAAATGAAGCAGCTTGAACTACATTTCATTCTCATGATAGCAACTATGATACTTAATTTGCTCTTTCCTTCAGAAGTCCACTAAATATGGTCCTGCAGCAAAGTTTTGCAGCATGAGATTAAAATTTGCATGCTGGTTCTAAGATCTACATGAAAATTCTCAGTATTTCTATGTCCTTAAATGTGTTAAAAAAGAATTTATCCATGAACTAATATGTACATGCATGTTCATCACCTGAACTGTGCATATGTACATTGGAAAAGACTACTCTCTGAGTGAGGTAACATAGGCAGAATGAAAATTCCATCTGCAGCATTTGATCTATGTGCCACTTGCATGTGCAGTCCCATTAGGTGAAGAACATGCATGTGTGAATCTGCCATAGGACTGGACCAGGGTCTGTCTACATAAGTAATATACAGAGACCTACGTTTAACAAGAAAATTCAATTAGCTCTTCAGGTTTTAGAGAATGTGGCCTAGTTTTGCATTGTGAATAAATACTGCTAAACCAATATAGTTTTCCCCATAAAATGCCAATAATCCTATATCCTAGTAAAAAACAAACTGAACCATCAAAATGTAATCATATTTCAAAAAATAATTCTGAATTCAAATATGAACTTGCAGGGTATTCTACATGAAACAGAGGCAGGAATTTCTTTACAAATATTTTTACAGTGCATGATTGGTAATGATCAGAGTAAAATCCTGAGTTTTTGGATTTTATTGTTACTCTGTAAATCAAAAAATAGCTTCTGTCTCGTCTAATAACTTACTTGGAATGAAGCAAATTAACTTGAGGTGATAACCTTTGGTTTTCCATGTGTGAAAAGCACAAGCCAGTGATCTGTATGTAAATAAACTTCTATGACATGAATGTAAACTTTAAGAGAATATACTATTTTTGCATGGAATCCGACAACATAAAAGATGTGCTGATGTCTCACTAAAGGTATAGATTTGTTTTATTTAGAGATGGCTGCTACATTAGTTGCACATTGTTTTCTCCCTGTTTTGTATAATGTAAACAAACCTGTGCTGAAAACATGATTTTGGTTGCTTTATAGAAATCACCCAAATGAGGGTTGGAATGGCCAACATACTGTCACTATTTAAGTACCAGCTTGTCCAGTGTATTGGTGCCTCAAGTTTGAAGTCCCGATGCAGCCCTTTCCCATCCCCCCCTGAACTAGTGTACCCACCACCACTGCTGCTGTTGGAGAATTTTGCCTGACAACTCATTTTCCCATAAAAGCTGCTGCACCATTATTGCTGCTGCTGCTGCTCTGCAAAGTAAGATGAAATGCGCAAGTTGTCAGTTTAATAATTACTTTGATTTTTGATGTAGAAAGGATATCAGCTTAAACTTAAAGCAATAGACTGGACAAATTTTGTCTGACTGAGAATTGAATTGTTTTGATGGGATTATAGCTGATGAGATTTTTGCACTTTTATGAGTATGTTTAAACATTGATGTCACATGCTATATTTGTGAATTGATCCTTGACACCTTCCTTTCCTATATCCCCTTTTCTTTCTTATTGTATCTTTTGAACATAAATTTTAAAAGATTTGGGGGAGGGGGAAAGAAAGGATATCAGCAACAAATGGAAGACAGTTCTTGGATCCAACTTTTTGTCTTCCAAAAGCAAAGTTTACATACCAGCAGTACTTTTTTCCCCACAAGCTGTCTAATAAAAGCAGTTAAATCATTGAGGATTTGATCTTGATAATCCTCGGTTTGCCTTGAATATGTAAATATGGCGTGTCCAAATTTTAACCCCAGTAACTCCATAAGTAAGGGAACTTATTTAGAGGAAGAACTGATGGTGGTAGGGTTGCCAGGTAATGAAGGTGGGGCTACACAACATCACGAAACACATTACATGCCATACATTGAAACCAGACAAGACTGCAGGGCTACCTTTGGCCACTTGGGAGAAGATAGAAAAATTAAAGGCTGGGGAGAAACAAAACCAAATCTCAGGAATATAGAGCCAGCTAATGCTGCCCATGCTGGAGAAAAAGGATTAGCATGGAATCATGGATTGATGGTTATTTCTGTGGATCAATGGAAACACTTCATTATAGTTACTATTGGTAGAAATTAACTGTGTTATCCTACTGAAATAGGGAGGAAAATCTGTTTGGTGGGGCAATAAACATACTCATGTTTTTCTATTATAGTATCTCCTTTAATGAAGGACCATACAGATCAATCAAGTAGAGAAACTAGTAGTGTAGACCAAAATCGGCTCCTGCTAAAGTGAATTTCATTTCTGAAGAAACTTTTCTGTATGAGCTCATATGTGGATATGTGCCCATTGTTCCATTTGTATATGTAAGTTCTAATACCTCCTTAAAACTTCCAGGTTTTCTGGAAAATGGTAGTCATTGATTAAAGCGCCAATGAAGGATAGTGTCAGCAAGAAATCTGTGTACTAAATATAATTTTACCATGATCAAAAGTCTTGTGGGAACAGGAATGGGCAGCAATATTTGGCATGAACAATTACTAGAAAAGTCAAGATAGGCCGAACAATGCTAAAATGCAGTGGGGGAAGTTCTGCAGCAGAGCTGTTTCCCAGATGGCTTATCTGTTAGCACCACCTCCTGCCACTCTTAAAATCAGTGGGTGGTGAAGTATCCATGCCAGCTCAAGGTTGGAATAGGTTAGGAGCATGAGGAGTCTTTGCATCAAGCAGATCTGTGGCCACCCAAGAACTCACTGTTTTGGCCTCTTACCATCACAGTGATAGAGCTTTCTGTGTGGCCTCTGGTGGACCATCCCACCGGCAGAGAAGGTCTTCCCCACCCAGTGTCATTCAGTAGTCCTCTGCATTTGGGATCACACTCCAGGTACCTATATCCAATTATACAATAGCTCAATGCTGTTTTTAAAGGACTGCATGTTCCATGTATTACAACAGGAACCAATTTAGGCCTCTTCAAGTAAAAGCTTTTTTTTTTTTTGCATTTCCATGGGATATACATACAAGTAGGTTTTTGGTCTTTTTTATTATTGAAATGTATATGGGGAGAAAGGTTTAGGTCATAAACTAAAGCCCCATGGGGCTTACTTCTGAGTATCCTTATACAAGAACACATTGTTAGACTGTGAACTTGATCCATGATTTAAACAAAAAAAAAAAAAAGCAATAAATAGCCTGCTTGTAGAGTGTCCAATTGCAAAGGATAGCAGGGTTCCTCTCTTTAGTACTTTTGTAATAGAGGAAATTTCAGCTAGCACAACTTTAATTCTGCATGAACATGGCAAAACATCATCTACAGAAATATTAAAAGGTACAGAAATCCTGCATACTTTTGCATCTGGTCACACTATCTGTCTTCTTTAGGAAAGAAAAAAGAAATCCTGTGTATATCAGCCACAACCAAGGTTCCCCATTCAGGATTTTTTTTCTGTGAGACAACAGCACTTCTGTGCAGCCTTCACATCCTGTTTGTCATGCAATAGAGCAATGTCCCTGCATCCAAATAAGAGCAACACAGCAAAGTAGCAGAGAAAACAGCCAGTGTTTCCTACATATTGCTTATTCTATTTTCAACTAAAGAAAAGTGAAGGGATAAAATACAATGACCTATACATATGTGTTTAAAAAAGATCTTAACTGTAATTAAAGAAGTTTTTCAGTTTTGGTATATCTGCATGTATATCTTAAAAAATACAGAGAGGAAAGTGTGGGATTTTTGTTTTGTAAAGAACTGGCAAAATGTCAAGTTTCTCAAACTTGTTAATATTCCTCTTGACTGACAAATAAAATATTTTATAAAATCCTGTTTTATTCCAATGTACTGTCTGTGTAATTCAGAAATAAGTGCCTTTAGTACATCATGCTGATTTGGTTTTGTTTTGTTCTTTTTAATAACCAGAGATATACTGGAATGGAGAACATTTCAGAAATGTTCAATGAACTTACTTGATAATAATGCATTTTATGATCACTGCAGAGAATGCAAATGGGTGGGGGGCAGAGTGAGGGGCTATCCCAGGCAGCAAATACCGGCAAGAGTATGCAGCTTCGAGATGCTAGAAGGCAGAGATGCCCATGTAACAGCTTTCCCTGCTGCCCTCAGGTGTGGTGGAAGATTGGTGCCCAATCTTCAGTGTAGAAGTAAGATTTGACTGCCAATCCAGTAAGCTTTTGTGTGTGGACTGAGAGGAAGGGCACCTTCTTGTCTTCTTTCACTGTATTGGGCCAGCTCTAGAAAAAGAACAAAGTGTCACTCCGTTGCTTTTCCAAGATTTTCTGCATCCCTAAAGTGCAAATTTCTTAAATCTGGTATTTGATTATCTTTTGCATTTTTCTCTCAAGCTTCTGGAGTTTATTGACAAAACACAAAATTAAAACATACTTTGTATGTTTAATAAAACTTCCGGGACTTTCATCATTCCTCCAGCTAGTTGGGGAATTCTGGGAGTTGGAAGACCTTTTTCAGTCCAAATCAGGATCACACCCTAACAGATTCTTCCATTACTCAGTACTGGTGTCACCTGGTCTGCTCATTTGTGGTGCTGCTATTTTCTTAACACCAAAGGGCTCATCCAGCATTTTCATGGGTACAAAGTTAAAGTCATCTGGGATGGGTTATCCTCTTAAGGCCCTTAGATATTCCAGTACATCTTTAATAGCCTCAGCATAAAGGGCTGTCTCAACCTGGTGCTGAAAAGATGCCAAGGTTGGCACCAGGCTGTCCTGAGTGGGGAGGTCATTGCATTGATGGGAGTGGGACTAGGATGGAAAATACTATTATGGAAGAAAAATGTTAGTAAGTTTTGAGCCACTGCTCAGAACATTACCAAAACATGATTGCCTTTCTTGAGGCACATCAGTAGTTTTTACCATAATTTGACAGAAATAAATAATACATCAAAGTGCAGTCAAAGAAGTAAAGGTGTCCATCAACCGCACTTTTTCACTTGCTGTAACTATGGCGATTTTTATTGGATTGGTTTAAAATTGGGCACATTTATGGAGCACATCAAATAGTTCATGAATGCCAAGGTCATATCTCAATTGATGTCACTGTTACAAGCAAGAGATGCTCACAAATTACAAAACATAATATTGTGACACTCTTGTGTCCATTTTTTAAAAATACGTTATTCTCACAATGGAAACCTCCAACTATTTGGTTCGCTATTTTTTTTTTTTTAAGTGCATGTCAACCTCATTGCCTTTATTTAGGTTCACTGCCCAGTGCCATGGAAACCGGAACCAGGTGAGATGAGCTTTCATCAGCATGACTGGGCGGCCAAACTGGAAATTGAGGAAGATGAACCACAATTTTCAACAGATACTTCAGAGCGCCCCCTACTGATCAAACCGAGCTTTCATCTCTCGGTTTCGGCCAAAAAAATTTAAAACCACACACTACATGTCACAATACATGCGTTTTCCGTTAATCCCAGCCTAGTGCTTGATGTTCTTGACAATCAAGAGCTAGTAGAAGAACAAACCCACTGGTTTCATTAGCGCCCCGTCAAATATGGAATACGATGACCGAAGAACTGCTTTTTTAAAGCCCCAGGACGATCTTCTATAATTAAATTACCAGAAATCATGAAATCAAAACCCAAAAGTTTACCGTCCTTTGAAAAAATGTTCAGTGAAACTGCGCAAGACTCTGCTGCAGAACACAGAGAGAGATCGCTTCGGCTAATGGGCTCGACTGTAATAAATAAAATACGCGTCTGTCTACACACACGCACTATCAGCATATAGTAAAGGAAACGCCCGATTTCTACCAGCGAGCAGCTAACCACGGAGAGCGTGCGTGATGCAGCGGTTAGGGTTAGCCTGACTTCGGGAGATGCGGGTTCCTCTCCCCAGTCGAGCATAAGCTCGCAGGGAGACTTCAGCCCAGTCGCCGGACGCACCTTACAGAGTGGTTCTTGTGAGGATCAAATGGAGCCGCACCTAGTAAGCCTCCTGGGCTCCTTGCAAAAGGAAGCAAGGCGGGCTATGAACGTATCGTTATAACACTGCATAGAATTACTGTATAACATTAGCTTATAAGGGAGCTCAGAAACATAAAATATATTTCAGTAGATCTGTCGCGCTGCCACGCTAAGCAGGAGACGCGTTAAAGACACTCCACTACCGTTGCCAATCCTGCCCTTCCCCGCCTGTTTCAGAAGAGGGCGGGGCGAGCTGGCGGTCGGTGGGATGGTCTCCTGGATCGCGCAAAGCGATTCTGAACATTGATTGGGTGGTGGCGCTGCCTATTAGAACACCGCTGAATCATCCGCTTCCAACAGTCACCTGGGGGCGGTTCCGTTTGTTGCGGGGCGCGAGGGAGCGAGCGAGCGCTGCGGGCGGCGTGTGGGCGTCGAGGGCTGGGCTGCTGCGGGAGGGAGTCCTCTAGGAAATGTGGGTGGCAGCTCGCCCAGCCACGCGCAGTTGCAGTTACCAGCTTCACTTGCAGCCTTTGCTAAATAAGTTTCCGAAGCCAGGCGAAAGCTTGAACGTAATGGAATTGGCAAGGGAGGGTAACTTGCTTCAGTTTTAGTCAAGTAGAACGAATAGGGCTCTTTCATCGCCCATGTGTATGTAATTAACGTGGGTGTGGATCAGGTTCAGCGAATTGCAGTTGGGTTTGACTCCTGGAGTCTTTTTTTGAGGGGAGGGATTCTATTAAGTTTCTGTACGGCCCGTTAGCTAAAGCTGTTTGGGCAGTTTGCGATAATTTAAACCATAAAACACAACATGTTTGAAAGTAATATAAAAGATTAAAGTTGCAGTATAAAATGAAGATTTTAGCTTTTCCACACACGTGATGATTCTTTTTTGCTGCTTCTATTCGTACTCTTTCAGGATCGGGTGAAGTAACCAATACCGGTTTCAATTTCTGATGCTGGGGGAGGGGGTGTTAGCTGATATTTGATGCTAACTTTTGGGTGTCTGCCCCCATAATAGCCTTAGAGTACAATATGGTGCATTTCTACTCAGAAGTAAGCCGTAGCGAACTCACTAAAATGGGATCAGGTGGGCTTAATCCCACAGTTTGGACTACATAGGCATGGGATTGTAGCCTTCAATTGGTTTACTAATAACTTCCTAGAATGTTACGTAGTGTAGACCTGTATCCTTGAGAAGAACAACCTGTAAAACTTGTTTCTGTTCAGTGGATCTACTGCTGAGTAGCTGTAATTCATTTGCAGGTTTGCTCCAATTATTTCATTTCTGTAAGGTGAGCTGAGTTAGGTTGTGCTTTATTTGTTGTTTGCTTGGGGTTTGATTCTCTTAGACCAGCATTTCTTAGCTGGGTGCCCTCCTTTCATCCCCAAGCACAATGACCAAGGGTCAGGAATACTGGGAACTGTAGTCCTAAAACTTCTGAAGGGCACAGACCAAACTCATCTTGCATTCTTTCTGTTTCCTCTTTATCCTACAGTAGGCAGAGTTACTGTAGAGGGAGAGAAGGCAAACAAAGATGGACTGGATGAAACTGCATGCTTATTCCAGGAAGAGGCAGACTCAAAAAAATGTTCGCTGTCCTTCTCCTGTGCCAGGCGTGGCAGCATCTGTCACTATGGGCCGAAGGCATTCTAAAGCCAAAGGACCGCAGCCATGCCAAGTTCTGCTTTCCAAGCCTGGATGTAAACCTGTCAGAAGTAATTGTTTGTGTTTTACTCAGCTAGCTTGGCTTTCCCTGCTAATTCCATGTGTGTCTTGATTAAATGTTGGATTTGTTAGGTCTTTGCACATGGGTAAAAATGGATCTATCCTACACAGTACTATGTGGCAACTGTAGGGATGAGAAAGTAGGCCTAATAGAGGCAAAATAATAAAGTGCTAAATTTGTGCAATGGATAGTGGAAAAGAGAGTGGGGTGTTCATAACTCTGTATTTATTTGATTATTTATGAGAGTCTTATACTGTTCCCTGACAAGATTCTTTCATGGTTCAGCAATAAAAAGAAAAAAAACAGGAATAAAAGAGAAACAAGAAGCTGATTGGAGGGAGATTCCAGATAAATAAAAGGACGTGCTTCTTCACAATTCATAATTAAACAGTGGAATCAACTGCTACAGAAAGTAGTGATGGCCACCATTTTTGGATGCCTTTAAAAGGGAGTTAGACAAATCTGTGGAGGAGAAGGCTCCTTGTGGCTACTAGCCTCATAGCCTGTGTTCTGCCTCCTTTAAAAGAAGCAGTATGTTGGTGTCCACTAGTGGCTGAGAAGATCATAATTGAAAGATCCTCTGTGCATCTGGTTTGCCCTCATGTGAACATGGTGCAGGATAGGGTACACTGTTTGTCTGATCCCGCATGGCGTTTCTTGCTTATTTAACCTCTACTGCCCAGTAGCTGAAGCTCTCTGGGTGGTTTAAAATAATCAATTAAAACATGCTCTAAAATGCACCAAAATATATCACAATATAATTTCTTATGTTCATAACAGAACAGAATAGTAGGATATTTAAAATCAGATTATGCTAATAACATGGTGGCTGGTCAGTCAGGGAAGATGAATGTTCAAACTTCTTTTTAAAACGTGCATTTAGAGGCAGATAAATTTCTCATTTCCCGTGATGTGTTGTAGAAAGCTCCTTCATGTTTGGATAGCATGGGATGGGCTTATATCAGGGATGTTGAATCTCTTTCACCCTGGAGGCTCAATTTCATTTTGGGGAAGCTCAGTAGTGGGCAAGGTCAGAGACAAAAGGGCCAAAAATTTCAACATGTTTTAGCTTAAAGCTGTTAATGGCGATAACCAAACCTTAGATAAGGCATTGCCCCTTTTAGGATGGGAGAAATGTGCAAAAGCTAGAAAACCATGAAGTGATCCAGGGAAGGAGGGCTGGATGTGACCCTCAGGTTCTGCATCTCTGCGCTGCATGGTCCAGTGAGGCAGAACATGCTCTTTGTATGTAGTTTCTGATCCCTGAGATTTTCAGAGAGGAACTGAGCAGCAGCTGATTAAACAGACCTCCTCCTAAGGTACTGTGTGCTGCTGCCAGTAGGAATAATTGACAGTACTGAGCTGCATGAACAAATAGCCTTATCTGGTGTAAAGCACATTCCTGGGAGTTTGGGAGGTGCATTTGTAACCTACTCCCCTCAATTGCTTCTTTGTGCATGTTTGGTATGTGACTGTCATGGTTTGGGAAGAGAAGCAATGTAGCTAAAACCTTAGCTATCCTGCATGAAGTTGATCATGGGATGTATTAAATTGTTAACATTACTGTAGACCCTGAGCAGGTTGAACATGGTCTACTTAGACTATAGTAGGGCCATGATTTAGAGAACTATAGGCCTAAACTCTTCTGTCTTTACAATTCATGGTCTGGTGCTTTTTGCAGTAGGGCAAACCACTTTCATGAATGAGAATGTCAGAATCCATGTCAGAATGCACAATGACTAGGACTGTGTGCGTTTGCATTAACATAAGGCATGCCGTCCCTGTGCACCTTGTCTTATGGCAGAAATGCAGCTTTTTTTCTTATCACTGAAGAACTGAAATTTGGTACAGGCAACTGTGGCAGGGAAAGTTGCTCAGCCCAGTCTAGGGATTAGGGCCGCAATTAGGAAACCTGTAGGCTTCCAGAAGCTGCTGTACTACACATTCTGTTAGACTCAGCCCACCTGGCCAATTGGTGAAGGATGAAGGGAGCTGAAATCCACAGCACCTAGAAGACCACTGTTTCCCCTCTCCCCTGGGAGAGCTTTGAAAAATATTTCCTCTAGAAATGGTTCATGCGTCACTTCTGTAATATTGACTCTAAAGTGGTTGTTTTCTGTACTCTTAGAGTCCTTGATTTATGCATTCTTAAGAGGTATTGGGATGGGAGAATGTTGTGCTCTGATTGTGTTTCAGCTCTAGAAACCCTTTAGCAGCAAGAATTGGGTTCCAGTTACTTAATGTGGCATATAAATATGTACTTTTACAGTCAGGACACTGATGCATAGTTGAAGACTGGCAATTGTCCCAGGGCTGCTCTTTTGGAGACTTCTCATGAAATTCAGTGTATTAAAGGAATGTATTTCTAACCATATTTGGAAGCAACCATTTTTAAGAGTTGCATGCAGGCTTCACTGAGTTGGGACACCTGTTTTTATCTGTCACCAAACATAAGTTGTCCCATTGTTCTTGGTGGGATAGAAAAGGTATTCATGCAATGAATTCTGCACTGGGTTTGCTTTGCAGGGAATACCCTTAGCATTTGATCCTTTCAAAGGGTTCCTTTGAAAATGATCATGGATAGATTCTTACCAGATGGGCTACACTTATGAAATTTTGTCTCCACATGAACAATGAAAGGAGAATGCTGCTCCTTCCACCTCAATAAAACTAGCAGGATTCAACTTATGCCGCTCCTGTAACAGCACACTGAAATTCTTTTCTTGACTATTTATGAAGTGTAATAAACTAATTTGCCAGAAGGGGGAGCATTTCTCCTTTGGAAGATGCAGTAAACTTGCTTGGGACTTTTTGCATCGGGATGGCTTTGCTTCTTTTTCATACTCTGAGACAACGATGCTTATAGTAAAACCTAATGGCAAATTTCTCGAGAGAGAGTTTAATGATAGATCTCAAAGCTGTGTTAAGGCCACTGGAAAGCTGCTACCATTGTTTCTTGGAAGATCATGGTCAACCAGATCACCTCTCCATTGGTCAGAGAAGGAAGAGCTGCAGGGAGCTTGCTTTGCCTTTTTCTGCCAGAAAGAACTCAGACAAAAACGCTTCAACTTATGTCAGAATTAGCTTTTTTTCTTCTCCTTCCCAATCCCTTTTACTTTTGGATCCAGTCCTTGCACTATAAGCCTAAAGGGACAGCCTGATTATGGCTCTTCATAAGCCACTCTGAGAGCCATTTTTTGGCTAAAAATTTGGTAAAATTAATTTATGTAGTAGCAGAAGTGGCAATAATACTAGGGCATCCAAGTGATTGTGGGTGTTAGAGGGAGAGGCAGAGGATCGATTCTTAATTTTTAATGTCAAAACAAGTCCTTTGGATGTATGCAGGACTTTGACTTAGGTTCAGGTTGTAAGATAAAAGATATTAAACATGTGATTCTTTTTTGTGCATTGTGATGGTTTGAGAAAATACTCATTTTTCCATAGAGCAGTTTGGGAATACCATTGCAACAGCTTTACCAAAGATTCAAGAAACCTCTGATGTGGCCCCGATGGGTTGCCTTTCAGCTGAACAAAGGTGTAGTATAGTTGTCATTCCAAATAGTCTATTATTTGATTGAGGTGAAGGGATGGGGGGGGGAGCTATATATGATATGGCCAGTAAATGTGTACTGTATGTTTAGGCATTATTGCCAGGGTAAGACAAACTTGCCCTATTTTCAACAACATTCCTTGAGCAACAATAGTATGAGTTGCTCCTTTGGGAATCATAGGATTCATGTTGATGAATCATATTAAGCTTCAAATTAAGAGCAGTCCCCATTTGTCCAGATGACGTTCTAAATATCAGAAAAGATTTCAAATGTCTTATTGAAAATAGAGGTCCCTAATTGTGCTGTATTATCTTCTAAATAGCATTGAATTCAATTACAATGAAAACAGATGTGTGGAGAAGAATATAGATATCAGTGAAACAGACACTGTATTAAAGGTATGAATACTATTATTTAACCTCTGATCCCTTAATAAATCTGACTGTGGAAGCACAGGTGCTGGCAATAACCAGAGTTCCTTTTACCAATGTCAGTTGTAAAATCAGCTGTAACTCTATCTGGGGAAAGCGGATCTAGCTTCAGTTATGCATGCACTCGTTATAGCCAGACTGGGACTCTACTGTGTGGGACTGCCTTTGAAAACTACTTAGAAGCTTCAGCTTGTGCAGAATGCGGCTCCTAAGTCCTTGTTAGGGCTAGATGTTAGGGCTAGATCACATTACACTAATTCTGCATCAGCTGTGCTGGCTGCCAGTGTGTTTCTGGCTCTGATTAATAGCACTGGCAATGACCTTTAAAGTCCTAAATGGAGCAGGACAGGTTATTTGGATACATAAAATGCAATGCAAGTAACCTGGTCTGTCTGCATCTGTATGAACCTGTCTATGCTCTGAGATCATCTTTGCAGATCCTGCTGATTACCTCTGTTAAGCTCTGTAAAGTTGGTGGTTTCTGGATTGATGGCCACCTCAGTGGTGGTCCTTAACCCATGGAATCCCCTCCTAAGGAATATATGGTTCACCCATATATTTGTAAATGCTTTTAAGAAAGTTTCAAATACCTGTTTTCTCTGGCTTTTAATTGGAAAGTTTTTGTCTAAAATATAGCTGAAATACAGCTTCAAACATCCAACTGTAGCAAAAGTGGATGTTTGAAGCTATATTTTATTACAAGTTACGTGCTTTTTAAATGTAATGTGCTTTTATGATGTGTTTGTGACTTCAAAGTGTACAGCTTTTATGTCATATGCCATACTAGGAAACTATGGTTTTGAAAGTTGGCAAAAATTATATTAATTCTGTGGCTATTTGGGTAGCAAGGATGAAAACAAAACAAAAAACACCACTTTCCCATTCCATCCTGCCAAAATAATTGAAGTTATTTAAAAAGGTTTCCCTGTAGCCATTAATGTCAGGTACCCAACTTAACTGGTCCCATCTTGGAGAATATTTTGTTCTTTTTGGGAAATTTTAATGTTTAGCCTGTATGCTGTGGCCCTTTTTAATTGCTTTTATAGATGTGTAATTTATTATGTTTTAATTGGTTTTTAATGTGTTTTTACTTTATTGGTATGTTTTGCATTGTAAGCACCTAGGAAGGCTTCCGCAATTATAGGCAGCTTATAAATATATGTAAATAAATACAAAAGCAATAACAGAGCCTAACAGGTGACTGGGTAAGAAAATCTTTGCTTAGAAGGATTTTTTCCAGGAAGTACTGTAGGTCCAGCATCAAGGGTAGGAGTGGTTGGGCGCCTGTCAAGGGCCCACACCTCAGCTTGGGCCTAACTGCCAAGAGCCTCTTGGTCTTGTTCTTTCTTTTCACCATGAAGACTCGCTTCGGCCCCACTTGTCATCTGACCCAGATGGGGTGGGGGTGACAAGGAGGAACAAGCACATGCTGTTACTTGCTCACTGACTCCCTCCCTGCCAAACAAGGGAGTGGAAGTACTGATCAGGAGAAGCAAGAGCAGCTGGGGACAATGGGAGCAGGAAGGTAGACTCACTAAAGGAGAGCTGCCTTGATAGTGCCTTGCCCAAGAGCCCTCCAAAGTCTGGAGTTGGCACTGTGGATTTTGCAGCATGAGAAGCAGAAGTTAAGGTTTCAGCCACATCAGGCTTTGTCATCTGCATCTTCATTGTTGGTTTTAGGATTCTTTGCAGTTGAACTCTGCAAGTAAAAAGAGCCCAAGAAACAGTGAAACTGCTTCAGGTGAGTGTGCTTGTGTCTACCAGGGTCAAGAAGTCTTGACTTCCAAGTATGTGCTGAATTTTTAACTGTTCTTAATTGACTAATATTTATTATTTTCAGCTGATGTATATTACCTTTGGTGATTTCTGCCAAAACATAGTAGAGAAATTGTTAAAATAAAAATGTGAATTAAAGGAAGAGACATTTAATAATAATTTTTCTGGCCTTGGTGCAAAATGCTGCCTGTTACCTTTGGGGCCCTAAATGGCTTTGTACATGCTATTTGAAGGACTGCCTGCACCTGTGTGGCATGTCATGAGTGGAGGTGGCTGGAGCCAGAGGTCAGACTAGATAGCCCAGGAAGACCCTTTCTGACTTGCTCTATGTTTATAAATCTGGCTAGGTAAGATAGGCCTAGAAACTTGGTTTATGTGCCTGCTGGCAGGAATGAATAAGAAGGATTTTTTAGTGGTGGCCTTGTTGTTGGGGAATTCTCTTCCTTGGGAATTGTGTTTGGTTTCCTGGTTGGTGGTAGAGGCCAGAGTGTGTTCCCCTTCAGGCCAACACATTTATGCAGTTAAGTTGATAAGCAGTCTGATACTACTGTCTCTCTGTTGGTGTTTAATAAATTCTGGTTGAATTAGCACTGTAATAATGTGTTGCTGTCTATTGGGCAAAATTGGTGTCAGTATTTTAACATCTACATTAATTAATGAAAGGTGTTGACAATTGGCACAATAAGTATAATCCTTGCTTAGGCTTGGGAATGATTGTAATAGAGCCACTATTTAACTAATGCAGAGAGAGTCCAATTGAAACATACAAGAATGCAAACCAAGTAGTTTTAGAACCAAGAAACTAGAAAAGGTTTTTATACCACTCAATTGTAAACCCATTGGGACCAGGTAATTTTCTAGTATTCACATTTGTAATTTCCTCTGCTTATGCAGGAGCTGAAACAAACTGTTACTCTGAGGAATCTTTACATGGAAGATTAAGCTACAGGAAAAAATCCTTCCATATTCTGTACTGATACGTTATTACCCTACTCTATGTATCCAAATCAAACTCTTAAAAATAAAATATGCATCCCTTTCCAAAATTGAATATTGTGCCCTTACTCAGACAGTATTATGCAAAACAGGTAATTTCAAGTTTGAACAATGCATTTATGTTTTGCCTTTTAATTCCAGGAATGACTCTGCCCACAGGTGTTTCAGACTTCCTGCTGCACTGTTTGGATGCAGATTCTACCATGTGCTGCGATACAGAACTTAGTGACTATACATGTAGTTATTCATCACCTGAAATCTTTAGGGAGGAAAGAAGTTTAGGTATACACTTTTTATGTTGTACATGTGAGAGGAATGTAGTTGAGGAAGGCTGTATCCCTGAATACATCTGTATTTTTGTTTGTGAAAATTAGAATATATGGCACTGATAAATTGCTTTTTTATTTGTTCAGCCAAGTCCCTCATATAAGCATGTGAATTAAGCTGAGCTAATCGGTAGTTGCCAAATGCCTCTTAATGTGTGCACAGGGGCTGTTTCTTTAATCAAAAGTATGAGTTCAGAATGTGCTTTCTTCTTGTAAGGTTTAATGTGGCGACTCCTGAGTTGAACTGAAATTTCTGTTTGCCCAGTTCTGGAGATAAAGCAATCCTCCATGCATAGGCAGCCAGTTATTTCAGATTATATCTTCAGTAATTTGTTTTAAGGGGATATAGAGTCTTTGCAACTTATTATTTAGCATTTTTGTATACTGTCTCTTAGCCGCATGGCTCTCTAGATGGTTTTCATAATAAAACTTTATCTCAGTCATCAACATCTTGTTACTGCCATTGAAATCTATGGGAATTCAGAATCATTTCTTACAAATGTATTAATCTGGTAGAACTTCATATATTTCAAAATCAGGAGGACAACCATATTGTCTTCTCTGTCCAGAAGGAAGCACTGCTAGTCCTGAAGAAGGGTGGCATATCCGATGCAAAAATTCAACACTCTTGGATACCAGCAAAGCTATCAACATAGACAAGATGCAGCAGCTGCCAAATCTTTCAAAGATATTGGGTAACTCTAAGCATGTTAAGTAAGTGTTTGATTGTAAATTTGACATTAACAGTTGTATCTGTGTTAGTCCCGCTTATAGCAGACCCACCGAAATGAATGTGGTTTAAATTATACTGCCATGGGATATAATCACGAACGGCAATTCTGTGCAAAGTGGAATTAAATGTGCAGCAGTGAGCAGGGATGTGGTAACTTGGGTTGCTCCTTCTGCACTGTGGCAGTGTGGATAATTTTCAAGGAGGAATCAGGGAGTTACCAGTTTGCCTTCTCCCTGAGACCTGCTGGGGAAGATATTCTCCACAGCCTGTTTTGTGTGGCGCTGTAACTCACAGGGAGAACCTGAAGACTTCCACATATTGGAATCCAATTCCTACTACTATATCTCTGACCATGGCCAGTGATCAGGAATGATGAGAGCTATAATTCTACAACACCGGGAAGGCTACCATGTTTCCCATCTCTGCTGAGGAACAGCAGAGAGCCAGTAGTCTTGTGTCTACTAGGAACAGGCTACCTGTTGTGCTTCAGATATGTTTGACTACATCTCCCATGATAGCTGACCATTGGTCATGATGGCTAGGGCTTACAGGAGTTGTAGCCAAAACCCAAGTAGAGGGTGCCAGATTACTGAGCCATATCTTACACTGTGATGGTGGGATGTGTAAGGCACGTTGCAGACCTTTTTCCTAGGCCGTGCAGGGTGCCTAGTTTTGATACTGTGTCTGTCTGGGGATAGTGAAGTGGAGGCTGCAAATCAGATGAGAAGGGCAGTGAGTGGCTGGGAGATTAAATGCTGCCTCTTACCACTTACCTCATGCAAATCCTCCCCATCCCTCCTGTCTTTGAGCAGAGAAGGTGTGCCTTGGGATCCTGGTCCTGTGTGCTGATGGAGGCTTAATTTGTCCTAAGGCTATTGAGGGATGCCATCTGCATGATGTCACATTGCGCTGTTAGAATCATTACTTTTACTTACCAGTATCATACTGCTCTACTGAATTTAATCTTCACTTTAGGAGGTCAATACCGGAGCATTACAAGGTTATATATAAGAAGATTTGCTTTTTTATTGCTGCTGTTTATGACACTTCGAGTTTGTTCCTTTCATAGTGGAAGTTTTCTCCAACATGTAACCACAAAACCACGATTCATCTAAATTAAGATATGGTTAAAGGCAACTTTAGTGGGGTCTCAATGTGTTCCTTCAACATCGCAGTCTCAGTTAAACAAGCCTTGCATCCTGGCTAGGATTGTGAGAGAGCATTGCTGTCTATGAAGATCTTTAAGGGATCACCAGTTGAATGGGATCATAGTGGTGGTGGAAGCATAATTTAATCTGCCACGCTGAACTGATGATTGGTGCTGTCAAAGTTGAGGGGGTAACTATTCAGAAGTCTGCACAGGATCCCAAGGATTCAGACCAGAGTAACCTGTTCCCCCGTGATTCTGGATGAGATCATGAGTGCTTGATGTCAATGTCCTTTTATGTTGCACACTGCAGTTTTGTAATCAAAAGCTTCCACGGCTTCTCATTAGGCTATTCCGCACATTCAGTTTTGTCTTCCCACAATTACTCCCTGAAGGGCATTTGTGTAGAGAATGTGCCATAGGAAACCTGGGTGCTCCCGCCATTCTTGTTTCCCATGTCTGGGAATCTCCCCCGATTGAAGTAGCTGCTGCCTCAGTCCTGGAAATTGTTGCTGAGATGTAGCAACTGTAACCATGGAGATCCCCTCTTTCAGAAGGCTTTTTCCAGACACAAATGCATCTCCAGGGATGCTGGTAGAGCATCATGTTAGGACAAAATTGACCATATGAATTGGCCTCTTGACTGGTTTCCAATATATATAAAGTGCTGTTGGCTATTGGGGAAGAAATATCTTTGCTCTTCCACCTTGGAAACTTTTATGAGCAGCTAAGCTAGTAACTCCTTTCTTGGTTTTTGAATGCTTTTAGAGAGGAGGGGAAAAGGGGAGAGAGGCTAACACTTTAGTTTCTCCATCAGCGACAGAACATCCAAGCAGAAACTGCATTCTGAATTGACAAATGCTTCAACCCTGGCACCAGGTAAATAATAATGCTGAAAATAAGAAAACTGTCATGAACAAATTAATGATCCAGCTAAGAGATTTATTTTTGTTAAATGGTATTGAAATATGTTCATGTCAGGGACCTGTCAGGGACCTGTGGTATGATGTTGCCCTTCTAATTATATTTGAAATTGCCCCTCTTTGTCAAGATTTGGAGTCTTTATTGTGCACTTATCATTCCTACTCAGTTTATTTCTTTAATTTCTATACTTCCCAGTAGTCAAAGCTCTCTGGGTTCGGTGCGACAGTTAATATAAATGTCGTAAAATACAATATAGAATAAAACAACAAGTAATCATAAATTTGCATTAAACATTAAAACCACATTTTAAACCAAGCAACTAAAACCGGTCCATACCACTAAGCCTGCTCAAAAAAGGCTGACAGTGGCAATACTTCTCACCTCATAGAATAGTAGAATTGGAAGGGGCCATCAAGGCCATGTGGTCCAACCCCCTGCTGTTGCAGGACACTAAGTTACACCATCCTACTCCAAATAGCACCTCCATCTGCTATTTGGAGTTTCTAAAGTGAACAGTTTTAATCTGGTGCCAAAAGATAGTAAAGTTGGCTCCAGGTGATCATTCTGTAATTTGGGGGCTACCACAGAGAAGGCACTCCTCCTCCTTACCATCACCTTGGAGGTGGCATTTGAACGTAATGATATTGAACGTAATATCCTGGTAGATTGCAGTTGGAAGAGAGGTTCGCCCAAGCCATGTATAGGTTTATAGACTTTATAAGTTAAGACCAAAACTCTGAATCTGGCTGAGAAGCATGTAGGCAGCCTGTGCAAGCAGGTCAGAACTGGAGTTATATGTTTGGACCATCTAGTTCTGGATATTAGTCTGGCCGCCACATTTTGTACAAGGTGGAGATGCTGAACTGTATTCAATGGCAGTCCCATGCAGAGTAATCTAGCACAGTGATCTACTCTGGCAAAGGAGGTAGCACATAGTCAGGCTAGTAGCCACTGAGAACCTCATCCCTCATGAATCTGTCCAATCCCTTTTAAAAGCCATCCAGATTGGTGGACATCACCACTTCCCATGACAGCGAATTCCATAGTTACACTATACGCTGTGTGAAGAAGTCCTTCCTTTTATCTCTCCTAAACCTCCCGCCAATCAGCTCAAAGTCTCCCACTGGAAGTCCCTCACTTTCAGATCCCTATTTCCATGCCCAGCTGGAGAAAAAAAAAAAAGACAACAACAAGAACAAGAACAAATCCATACTGTGGCTTGCTACATGTGTTGAGGCAGTGATACGTTGAGACGGTCCCATGGCTGTCATGGAATCCTGAGCTGCCCCAGATAAGGTGTTTTCAGCATGGATGTCAATAGCCTCCAAGACCAACAGTCTGGGGGACCTTAGCATTTCAGCTGAGTCCACCTCTGTCAGCTCAGCAGGGTGGGCATTTGGTTACAGGTGCTTAAAATGGTGTCAGCATCCAGGGTTTTTTTTTTGGGGGGGGGGGGGGACTGTCACTGGAGTGAAGGGAATCCAGCATTTTTTTGCCAAAGCAAAACAAAGTGCAAGTCCCCACCAGTGTAGATGCATTATTCTACTGTACTGCAGCACAAAGTATGGAGAGTCAGGAAAAGAAAGTAATTTTATGTTGATCACTGGTCTTAATTCTACAGTGAAACTGGAAGTAGAAACTGGAAACAGTGTCAGCTAGAAAAGCTTTTGATGGCAATTCTCATACTAACATTCCCTTAACTTAAAACAGCTTCCTTTTCATCATTTGCACTGTTTCCCTGACTTGAGTGAAGCAAGGTAAAAGATGAGAAAGAAGATCTTTTAGGTTAAGGGGCGCAACACACAATGAAGCAATGCACAAACTGTATACACATGCTAGCTCTGGGGCAATTCTCTTGAGGTTGTATAATACTTCCTTTCTGTGCTACCCCATGTTTTCTTTTTTGAACCACATAGTGATTCCTGAGGCATCTTTATATCCATGCTTTTCCTTGTCAGGATTTCCATAAATGATCCACCAGACATAGTATTTATCAGTTTATCATGGTATTTATCATGGCATTCCTAGCCAGCAGGAAAATTTATAGAAAAAATAAATATAGTGAAAAATAAGTGTAGCTCATTAAATGATTTCAAAATATGTGGCTTTTGAGGCAGTTGGACTTGCACAGTAGCTGCATTTTAAATGTTGTAATGTCCACTCAAGTAATGCTCCTGCGGGATATTCAAAAGCCGTGCACTGTTTTAGCAGAGGGCCCTTCCCAGAAGGGGAGGGCCATGCTCTAAGCAAGCAGGAAGTGGTCTCTTGGTAACGCAAGTCCCTGTCCCTCATGTCAGTCCAGTGCCAGTAATAACCAGCGTATGTTATTGAAAAAGCCACTGCCCTTATGCACCCCACAATTAGGTTTAGGTAGCCCCAACTCATAGACCTGCAGTATACTTTGTTCTTATTTCTAAAAACATTTTCTGTTTGGAGCAGATGGCTAGTGATGGATGAGATTATGGTTGCCTATTTTATTATTATTTTTTACTTACAAATATTTTCCCCTTCAACTAAATAGTGCTTATTCCCAAGTAAATATGTTTAGCATCTAAAAGGCAGAGGCAAACTTCATAGTGACACTGCTATGATATGATATGGTATATCATATGATATAATTTAAGACTGGTAAGCAGTGTTTGCTTGCTCTAACACATGAGAAATATAGAATCAACTGTAAAGCGTAGAATGGCTGTGGGGAAGGAGGGAGAAGGAAAATGTGAATGCGCTTTCACAGCTGAAGTAACGAGGAGAGCTTTGGCTATTGGGTGATCTAGAAATACATACAAATACACAAAGCCGCCTAAAGCTCCCCCCCGACCCCCGCCCATCCCTGGTAAGAGTGTTACACTCTGTAGTCTAAAATTACCAGCTGCGTTGTTTCCCTATAAACCAGAATATATGTAAGTTTCTAGAGAACACTAGTCTCCACCGCAACTGCCTCAATTTCTATTACCAGGACTTCACTGAAATACTTTCCCATCTACCACAGCTATTTGGCTGTAGACATTTGTTCTGTGCACTTACAGTGTGTGTCATTTTTGCTAGAGCATAGTCCACTTTTCAACACTACATTTATAAAAAGGCCAGGGTACAAAATATTAGCTACTCAGATGAAACCCCTTCCAGTTTTTCCTGCTAACCTCTTCTCTTACAGCAGCTGTCAAGTTCCTTCTCCTTTCCCCCACCTCCTTCCATGTTTATTCAGTTTTGGAAGGACAAAACTGGGTGAATTTGTGAAAAAGTGGCTCTCCCCACCCCCATTGTTAGGCTGGAAAAAGGGGAGGGGTGAGAAAAGTCAACTAGGATGTGGGCTGGGGAGTAGTGCTATCGAGCCAGAGAGGAGGAGGGTGAGCATGAAAGAGGGAAGAAAGCAGAAATGGGCTGGGGGCACAAGAAGAATGTTTCAAAATGTTGCTGCCTCTCCCAGCCCCTGAGGTCAGGCAACCTCAGACTGGATTGGTGTGTTGGTACAGCAGCAGGGCAGGACTTTGGCTGCTGGCAGGGCAAACCTACAAAACGGAGTGGCTTTTTCTGGCTAGTGCAGCCTGCACCCCATCTTTCTTGGTTGCCATGGTAACCAGAGCTGTGAGAACTGATTCATCTGAAGTACCCCCCCCCAAGCCCCGCTTCAGACTTGCAAGCACAAATACAGTTTTAGAATCTCATTACACCCATGTGGAGTGATTTTGAGTGAAAAGACAGGCTGCAGCATTAAGGGGTGGTTCAAAGCTCAGAAAATGGGACTAAAGGAATGACACTGCAACTCAACAAACTGCAGTTGAAAATGAGCCTGGCAAATGGCAGCTCCCCCTCTGCTCAAGCTACTCCAAATGTTTCGTTGTTGCTGCTGCTGTTTTGCAGGGGGGGAAGCATGCAAACTGTTGTCTACAAAGGAAAAAACAGCCGAATCACAATCTTCTAGAGCCTTGCTACTGTCTCCAACACAAAAAAGACAGGTGATAGTTTTAACAGCCGTAGGCTGCCCTGTATGAATGGTGCTTCCTGTATTTAACCACATTCCCAGTGTGCACTGCATTGAGTGGAAGCCCCTTAGGCAGGGATATATTGTGCATCTTGCTTGACTACAGCCATGGCTGTGAGAATTTTCAGTTGAAACATTCCTGCTTATTGATCAGAGCGGGACAAGTGGAGGTATTTATTCCCCACGTGACAGGGAATATCTAACTCCCCTCCCATTCTGGAAGAGTGCAGGAACATCCCATGACTTTTTGGAATATCAAGCTATTAATCATTACAAGTTTATTTTGCCCGGGATTATAATAGTTCTCTTGCCATTATTGTATGGGGCAGGGTCTGTTACAGAGAGAACTGCGTGTTACTTTAACAAACATGCTTGCAATTTAATAGTATGGGAAAACATTTGCAGGTGCACCTTGCTAAATAGAAGGAACTACTTAACTGTTTGCTTGCTGGTTTTACCTCCATAGTTTCTCTTCTTAAGTGCACCCCACTCCCACCCCGCATGCACTAGATTTTTTTTCTGGTCTTGATGTTGGCTCGGTGAAAGGAGAAGGGGAAGATACTGGCTGTGGGGAGAGGATGCTGAGTGAGAAATAGGAAAAGGGTTATCCTTTCCCCTCCCATTCAGGTGCTTCACAGGTGTGAATGCTCCCCTCCCATGCAGTAGCTATGCAAGGCACATACAGGGAGCCTGGGCTTGCTTTGTAAAATGTGGTGCTACCCTAACACTGGTGGTATTGTAACAACGCTCTTCCAAATAAAGCAACCTACAAGTGGATTTCCAGTATAGCAGGAGTGGGGAACTCATAGCTTTCCAACTGTTTACCCTACAACTCCAATCAACCCTAGCAGCATAGCTGATTGTGATGGCTCATTGGTGTTGTAGGCCAAAACATCTGGGAATCCACAAACTGCCCATCCCTGTATTATAGCATTAATTGAATAGTTTTAATGGGAAATATTTGTTGTAATCAATTTAAGCATAGGGTACTTAAGTCTGGATTTAGGTGCACTGCATGAAAATGATTTAAACCTGAAAATATAACATTAAAATTGTCATTCATTTTCTTGACCTTAGCTTAAATGGGTACCTAGCAAGATGTTTTACAAAGGTAGTGTTTAATTTCAACATAATTTAATTATTTTAAAAAATAATGCACTTATAAATTGACCATTTTCCCCCTTGACTTCTGTTTCATATTATATAAGAGCAAGTGCAGTATGAGATTATGAAACAAGCAACTATCGATTCAAATCTTAACTTTCCTCTCCCATGGACTCAGTATGTGGCCTTACCTAAGGCACTACCTCTTTCAATCTCCCTCTTTCATTCCCTACAAAAAGGTAGTAATAAACCTGACCTGACACAAGCTGTTGTTGTAAACATTACTGAGACAATGGATTTAAAGCAGTTTGATCACTCTAAATGCTGTAACAGTATTCCTTCTGGGTTCCGATTTTGCACTAATACGGTTCTTTATATTATTGTAGATTGACAATCAGCAGCCCAGGAAAATGAAGTGCAGGAAAAAAATAAAGTTCAAAAACCTGTTAGAAAATACAGCTTCCTCATCTTCTCCTGTCATACTGGGTTCAGTTGGAAGAAACCAGTCAGCCATATCTTGTACAGGCACAGCTGAAGCATTTCTTTCCAAACTGTCAGATGCTGACATGGTAAGTGGTTTTGTCCTGGGCTTCTCCCACCATGTTTAAGACAGTGGTGCCCTTAAGCGTGATGTTTGAAGAGCACATAAAAGCTTTCTTCAACCTGTTGCCATTCAGCTGTTTTGGACTACAAAACCCAACATTCCTGGCCATTGACCATGCTAACTGGGGATGATTGGAGCTGATGTTCAAATTGTCTGGAAGATACCTGAGTGGGGAAAACTGCCTACCCTTCAATCTCCACTGTATTGAACAGGGAGGTCTGAAGAAGGCATCTATTGTATTCACGTAAAAGTGTATAGAAATACCACCAGCAGCACCATCTGGAGAACTCCATGGCACAGAAGTCTGGTGTTACCTCCCACCTCCACCTGTCTCCTCTATCCTGCTTCCCACTTATATCTACTGCATCATTTCATAAAGTCCAACCAAGGCCTGACTAACTTAGTTTGGTTTTCATGAATAGTTCTTCCTTAAATCTCTTTATCCAAAGCAGTGAACTTCTGTGTCCAAAATGAGTTCAAAGTATCCAGTGACAGATATGAAGTATGCTGTTTGGAGAAGAATCCACTTATCTATGTCAAAAGGATTTCCCTCCTGTGAAGGAATTCATTTTAAACATAAATGTAGAAACTGAAATGGAACTGCAAGTAGAATACTGTTTTCATATGTAGAAAATGAAATATTTTCAAATTAACAGCAGCTCTGGGAACTTGCTTTTGATGCAGTTGTATATCTTTATAGGAGATTAGGTCTAGAGCAGTGAACATAAGAAAGAATAAAGATTTCCTAACAAGTACAGCACTTCTGCAGCCAGAAGATTTAGAGGTTAGTGAAATCTCTTGACAGCCATTTTGTGCTTTTTCTTCATGCAATGATAAAATTGAAAGAAATGTGCCCTATTGCTGCATTTTTAATCAAACCCAAATTAACTTTTCAAAACCAGTCTGAGGTAACTGCTAAAGTTTATCAGATTGTGTAAACAGCTGTTGGGAAACTGAGGGCCACTTCTATGTAAGGCTTCCCTACACAGAAAATACGCTAATCACAGAAATAAAAAGTGCCAGTCAGAGTGTGAATTGGGACAGCGGGTGTTCCGCCTTCCAAATGTGTGGCAAAGTAGACACTTTTGTAAATTGCATGATATTGGTGTCCATAATGCAGAAACAAAGTTGTATGCTTGAGCATATCTATTACTTAAACTACTAATCGCTTTTCCATCTGTTTTGTTTTTATTTATGAATATTTTATGCACCCTTTTCAGAAGCAAAGAGTAACAGGCATGGTTGCTTGTCTTCCATGTTACTCTTAGAATACTCCTATGAGGAATATTTAAGAGAAGAGAAAATTGTTTATTGGTAACTTTGGATTTTGTATATTTAAGTGAGTGTGAACATGTCCACACCTTATTCAAGTAATTCAAGTAATTCAGAGAAGGGATGTCTCATTGACTGATGTAGACAATATGCATTGAATTACTTTTAACTGTGTGGTTGTGGAAAAAAAGTTCAGAATGATTGTACTAACAGACCCATAGCTACAAAAGATTTAACACTGGAAATAGTTGAAGGAGATTCAGCAGTGGAGGGGGGGGTGACTCAAGCTGGGGCTCATAACTGAGTAGGGATGTCAGCTAAAGCCTTTCCCAGTCTGCTTCAGCCAGTTTGTTTCACTGGTTCTTCTAACAGAAGCTCAAACAAAAACAATATAAAATTGCTCTCATTTGCCTTATTCATCATTCAAGGGAACTGGAAAACTGGTAGATATTTATTCTGGAACTCTCAAGATTGCTATACTAAATTTTCACCCAGTTCACAAAGTAAGTGTCCCTTTGTCTTGTGATGATCTACCATTACCCCTGGGTCCACAGAGATGTGTAGGAGTGTGACAAAGAAATTGCAGCACTGTCTCTGACAAACAGACTGTTTTCTTTTTCAAGACCCTGACAAGTTGCATAGGCAAAATGTAGGATGAGGTTCTACATGTGGAAGAGCTAATCTTAGAACTGGGATGGACAATGTACAGCCTTGCTGTGTGGATAAAATTCAACAGTTTGGTGTCAAAAAGCCACTGCTGAATTTCAGTAGCAAACTGCTTTGGAGATTTAGAAGTGACACAGCTTGAAAACAATCCTGCTAAAGAAGCTCTCCCCATCTGCTGATTCACTCCTTTTAAGATACTCATGGGACCATCCAACATGGCTTCCCATAAGCCACCAAACTCAGAGAATTACAAGCATCCGATGAAGGGCAAGAGGAGCATGGAGCTGAGAATTGTCAGTGCTCCTCCTGTTCTCCAAAGCAAACAGCTGGTTTCAGCCATCTTAAGTGTTCAGCCCTGACTTGCAAAGAGAGGAGACAGTAGTACAACCAGGATGCTTTATAGCCTTCTCTTCTTCCCCTGGAATGCCTACCCCACTTTTCTCTGACAGCACTGGCTCTGGGGTTAGTCTTACAGCTTTGGAGCTGCAGTTGGTACTAAAAGAACCATGTGGCTGTAAGAACACAGAGAAGGTGCTCTAAATTCAAAGTCCCAGCTCCAACCTCAGAGCACTTCTCTGACATTGGAGTAGGACTCCAAATTATCCTGTGGCCATAAGATTGCATCTCCTAGTATAGGTTTGCATATTTTAATTCACACTAAAATAATTTCTTGCTCTTTTATTTTGCTTTGGTATAGCTGGATTTGTCCTCTGTGCACAAGGTCTCTCAAAGTGAAGACATCTTGCCAAATACAAGTAGTCTGTATATCAATTCAGAAGAAATTGTTCCTGTGTCTCTGTCTCCAGAAAGGATGATTCGTCAGGTTATACATAGTTTTTTTTTCCTGTTTCAGTGCTACTTTAAAATACTTTGGAATTGCTGTTGTAATAAAGATAACATAGGAAGATGAGCAGCACTGAATTGAATGGACATGTAAAGGTAGATGTGGCATTTAAAGAGATGTCACATTATCGCACAGTCTTATTATACATTTATATGTAAATAAAGACCAATTCAGCTGAAGCAAGACAGCAGATAAGACTGATGGCTGGCCCAGAACATATGCCTTTCATGCAAAATGTAAGGTCAGAAGCAAGCTGAAAATGAGGACAGCCTAACTGAAGCTGGGTTGCCTTGAAGCACTGATTGCTCTCAAGCAAGAGCCTGCTACTGCTGGAATAATGTTTTGGATCCATGTTTTTTTCCCCATGTCTTTCAGCATTTGCGAAACAAACCAGAAATCTGCTCTATCATTAAAGCTTCACCAGGATTGAGACCAGTGAAAGTTATCCAACATCCACTGAACAGAAAAACATTCTTTCCACCAGAATCAACTGAAGGTAAAGTGAGAAGGAAGGGATGCAGAATATGCCTTTACTATGAGAGCAGCAGGAATTACTTAGGATTTTGTTTTTATTTTTAAAAGGTCCATAGCTCCGCCATTGACTGAAGGTATTCATGCAAAACTTAATTCACTTCTTTGTAAGATTCTAAAGCAGAAATTGGCAGGACTAAGTAAGGGCATCCCATTGGAGCTTGTGTTCAAATCCTTATTCAGCCACAAACTTTCTGGGGCTTCCTTGATTGTCATTTTTGATTTTTTAAAAAGTGGGATACCATTGGAATAAACATGCTGGATAGCTTGGGGCAAATCCTGATGTATTGACCACCATTTTTAATGTTGAAAATGGAGACCAAAGCAAGGTGGCCTGAAAAGTTTAATCACTCTAATTATCTTGGTTAATTTGCAAGGGCATATTTTAATTGGTGACACTGAGACTGAAAGGCATGTTTGTTAGTCTAAACTTTTTTGTTTTGTTATAGGGAATTAAAAAAAGCATAATAGTACCCTTTAGTGTTAACTGTTAGTCATAACATATATTTAAATTCTTATCTTCAATGTTATCAAAAAGGTTATTGGTAGTATATTTGGGTGTTTGGGTGTTACATCCTTCAAAAACTTGTTTACAGAAAAGGGGCTGCATTTATCACGTTTTGTAGGACAACTTGGTGGAAAAGTCTGAGTTGTCTTTTGCTGGAATTATGCAGTTCTCCGATGAACTATTACTCGAGTTCCCCAAAATACTAAAGTGTATCTGCAAAAAGAGAAATTGAGACATCATTTCCAATGAAAATTGATTTGTTTTTCAGATATTATTGCAAGTTCAGAAAACTGGGAGAGCAACAATGACAGATGAGTGCTTCCATAGGTCAAGGGAACATGATGGAAAGCCCTTCTGTAAAGTGGGAAAAAAGGAGCACCTTATAGAACCCTGTACAGCTACAATTGTATGAACAAGGTGCAATCAGTAAAAGGTAATTAATACTCAAGTTCTATTTGAATGAATGGGAGTAATGTTCTTAACATTACACTTAGATCCTATGGATGTCAATATTTATTTCCAGTTTTCAGATGTAGTCAAATGTGAGTTTTGGATCTTTATTCCTACTATGCAGAAAAGTATTTACTACTTTAGTGACTGTTCGGTCAAAGACACATAATAAAAATATTTGACTTGATATAAATGAAAAAAGAGGAAATGAAGACAATTGAAATGTAGGAAGAGGCTCAACTGAACATTTGGATGTTGTTAAATTTGAAATACTAGTGATATTTTTAAAGAAAGTTGTGAACAAATATATTTCAGGGTATGTATTTTGGCAGGTGGGAATAATGTTTAAGAATTATTAGCTTGGATGTGATTATTTTGCTTCATGTTCTATATGTGATTGTTCTGTATTGCTGCAAAAACTTGGTATTACTTCATGTTTCTTTACACAATTGTCAAATATGTACTGAGAATACTTCCAACTCTTGATAAGCCTCCGGAAGATGTCTTAGCGTGATCCCAGAAACCCAGTTAAGTGGAAGCACTTGGATTAGAGACAATAGAATCTACTATTGAATCCTAATGTCACCTTTATTAGGATTGTGAAATTGAGTAGAATGTCAGTATGGATTTGAAACTTCAAGCTCTAATTCCTTTGTCATGAGAGCAAGTATATGTAGAAAAACTGGACTGTTTCTTTCATTGTCTTATCTCTAATAGAGCTGCTTACATTTTCAACTACTTCCAACATGAAGCTTTAAGACTGAACTTTACAGAGTCCTTGTTCCTACTAACTGGTTTTGAGAAATTAGCCTCTGTGATCTGTGTTTAAAACAAAATGTCCCATGAAGTTTGTTAATGACATGGTGTTTACATAAATTTCAACATGTAACTCTTTAACTTATTTTTTTTTAAGATGGAGGATGGTAGGACCTAAAACTCCTCAAATTTTGTACCAGAAACAAGATTTGCAAATAGCATATCAGCATAAATAAATGAAAATATGCAGGTGGAGATGCTTTGATTGTCTTCATTGGATTAAAATGAAAGCCCATTTCAACCTGTGTGAACTTGTCCTACCTTGGCAGCTGCTAGCTGTTCCTGAGAATTGGAGGAAGACTACATGGTCTAAAGCTGGTAATTAACTTTCACATGTAATATAAAGGGAAAGAGCAAACAAGATGCCTAAATAGTGATTCCAGCCTAATCTGCATCTACTTCCCCTCAGTTCTTTTCAGCTGTCAGCATGCTTGGGATTGCCAACTTTTCAAAGTCAGTTCCTGTAGCCTTGGGGTGTTGAATCCAGTATAAGTTGTCCCACTGTTGATAAAGACAAGAGTTGGATCCAGCTTTTTTGTCTCATTGAATAGGAATAGCCTACTCTTTTCCTGAGTGGAGTTCCACTCAGAACACTTCTGCTAGTGGAAGTGAGGTGAGTCTCTTATCTGCAGTTGCTTATGACCCCTTGAAAATCAGCTTGGAGAGCAGAGTGATCCTCTGGAATACAGAGTGATGTGGTACTGGGGCAGCAGAGAATTTGCGAATTCAGCAGCAGTGATGGGGACCATGAAGAAACTTGTGGTGTGGGGGCTGTACATATTCCATTAGCTTAGTGTTGTTTACCTTTGCATGTGATGCTTGTGAAAATGGTACCAGTAAATCAGGTTTGGTTGAAAATACCAAACTTGATGCATATTTTACCATAAAGATACAACTCTGGAAGTGTAGTCATGAGCACATTTATTTCAGTAAACCTTATCTTCTCTATATCAACTATGTATAAGTCTCCTGGATGATTTGCAAACTTCAGTATGCATATGATTTCCACCTGAAACACATGACTTGTAGCCAGAAGTATGTTACTTGGCACTAAACACAGAGCTTGGCAGATATATTAATTTGGTATTTCTGTTACTGCACAATGTGCTATTGGTATATAATATACTTGTGTTGAAAACTTGCTCGGGTAAAAATATCTTCAATTATTTTTTGATTCAAGTTGCTAAAGCTCAATAAGTACTGTGAGAGGAGTTCATTTTCCTTTCCTGAGGCTGAATTTGTTGAGAGATAAGTATTTGAAGAAAATAAGAAGACGGAGATAATCTTCCCTATTTTGTGGGTGCACTGCTTTTTAACTATCTTCTTCAGACACTGATATTGTTGGGAAGGCAAGCTTAATACTCTGGGCAATTTCCTTGATGTTGTTTTCCAAAACATAAAATTGGATAAGGTCACTGTATAATAAAGATTCACCTCTAACGGAGGCCTTCAGTGCTGTTGACACAAACACAGCAACATACTTTGAATGACAACACACTTCTGATTCCAGCCAGAAACCATCTGCATGAGGTAGCTCTGCTCCGGTGTCAGCTTAAACTTCATCTTACATAAAGAAAACCTGGTGAAAGGAGAATCTGTTGCTGATGAAAGTTTTTCCTTTTAGTCAACTGAAAGTGGGCTCTACTTGACTGTTAATTTGATTGAAAATAATGCTTCTGACTCCACAGAAATATAATCATGGTGACTAGAACAGAAACAGGGAAAGTTGTGGGCCTCTGTTGGGCTCCAGATCCTGACATACCTATCAGGTTGGCTTGCCTGACGGGAACTGTAGACCAACAAGATCTGGAGGACCCAGGCTTTTCAATCCCTGGACTAGGACATTTCCAAGGAGACAAGGTGCGGCTGTCTCTACTAATCCTCATGAGCAGTATTGGAAACAAAACACTTCCATCTGAGGTGCTGCCTCTTCAGGTCACCAGGACCTCTTCCTGCTCCCCATCCCACCTGCCACACCTCACCAAAGTCAAATTGTACTTCTGCAAGCATTGGAGTTCCTCCAAACTTGTTGATATCTATCTCTTGGGTGTTAGTGGTGCTTGTTTTAGCTGGTCAAGCAACGTTACGCACTACCTGAAAATCAGAAACAGAATTATATTAACTGACACCAGGTTAAGATTCTTAAGCATTTCTTCCCATTTTTGGAAGAAGATACTGGTTGCATAATTCTACTCATTTTGAGAATACAAAGGATTCTTAATATCATGAATAAGGCATCTTCTCATGTTGTGCTCTCTTTCCTGTTCAGTTGGGCTGCAAATGGTTCCACAATATCAGACTCTTTAAAGGCTGCAAGTTACAACCTTAGATTGGTACAGACCAGCCATCAAAATGCTCTCCTCCAAAGTTAGTGGGATTGCTCCTTGAGCAACATAGGCCCGAAATAATCCTTTGGTGGATTTTAATGACATCATCTCTGATGAGTCACAGCCCCTCTAAAATGACTAGCTAGTGGAAAATGTGCAGTGGAGATTTTATAGAGCCTGATTATCAGCCTAATAATGCAGACTTTCTACGGCAGTATAATTCAAGTGCTTTACTGGGTCACTCAGTTGAGCCTGCAGTTCATGGGTCAGTATCTGCAGAATCTGAGCCTGTTCACATGTCACATTTTAAATCCAACAACAGAACACACAGAATTTAGAATGTATGAGCATATGAGTGATTTCTTCTACCAGTTAGCATCACTTGGAAAAAGGAAGGGAAAAATATGCTTCTCATTAATCAGAGTACTTTGGGGTTTGTGTCATATATCTACGGCATGTCAATGGACTTCTTTGTTGCTTCATAGTTATTGCTTGCTGAGGCACAAGTTGGTGGGGAAGGAGAAGAGAAAGAGACTGATTCACATAGAAACCTACTGAAGTTTTCGGATTCCTGCTTTGGGATATGCCTCAGTCTGGTTTTACACCAGTTCATCATAGGCAATATGCAATGCCATGCTCTAGTATAATGAGACACAATGCTATGCACATTTATGCAAGAAAAATGTTCTAAAACTCCCAGTGTTGCTCAGTCAGCTTGGGACTTTTTCTGTTTAAATATGCACAGAACTGCATGGATTCTATACTTCTACAGAACTAAGTTGCACCAAGCCACAAGGGGCACCAACAGCATGTGACAAAAGTGCTCAAACCCTGCAGAAGTTCCCCACCATTCAGACTTTTCCTGCCTCAGCTGTTGCCACAAATAGCCATTTTATCAAGCTAGAGTGGGGAGATGAAAAGGGGAGCAGGGTGATTCTGCTAGCCCTGTTAAAGCACAACTTCATTTCTTCTTTCTTTCCCATCCCCTGTGCCTTTTTAGATTTGTAATCCTGCAGGCAGAGACAAATTTGCTTGATTGTGAGCTGCTCCAGGAGGCTTTTTGGCTGGAGATTGAGATAAAATAAGTAACGCACTGAAGCTGTAATGCAGTGTGCTGCCTCCCACGTATATACTGAACATACAGGGGAGGGAGCTGTATTGCAGTTCATGCATTTAGAGATTTTCCATACTTTTTCTGCACTCATAATTCTTCCTTCATGATGCTTTACATTTATGTCATTCACCACGGCCTCTCATGTTTTGTGAGCACTTTCATGGCTTTCTTTACCGCAAAGAAAGTCTGGCATATTTAGAAATGGCACCATTGAAGGCAGATGTGCTGATACAATTTCACTATATCATCTGGTAATTCTTTCAATTTCGCTATATCAATTTTGCTATATTGAAGGCAGATGTGCTGATACAATTTTGCATCATCTGGTAATTCTTTCATGGAACAGAAAGAAAAAACTTCAGGGGTGAAAATAGGTGTAAAGGGGCCAGTCTTAATCCCAGAAAGTTTCGGGAAGCAGCAGCCTTGAAGTGGTAGGTGAGAAGCCCTCATTCAGAGACGCCTCTGCTGTTTGTGTAACAGAAACTTATCCATGTATGCAGAACATCCTCATGTTCAGAACCACTGATTGTCCCAGGGTTCCTGATGTCATGAGGCAGCTTTTGCATGTAGGAACATGAAATTTTGTGAGAAATCACAAAAGTTGACCATATAGATGTTGGTGCCAGAGCCTACAGACATACAGAGTTTGGAGTGAGGCCAGTAGTTTTGGTGCTGCTTCCTGCACGTCTTCAGAGTGAATGCTGCGGGGGGGCGGGTATATCAATCTAGAATCCTGCCAATACGTTTGGCACCATGGAACTACATCTTGCCCTTTTATGATCAAGCTTAGGGCCTGTGAAGGGTGTTTCTTGTGATTAGAGGTCTCTGGGTG